CCATCCACTCGAATGTTCAGTTCAGTCATTGCTGACCGCAGTTTTGACATCTGTACTTACAACAGCATCGCGCGGGACCTCCTGGTCGAAATACAAGGCAAGGGTTCTCGTCAGAGGTGATGGGGTGGGATACTTTCATTGCTTGAAGTGTAGGGCCGAACGTACGGATTGTAGCGTACGTTACGGGCAGCAGTCGCCTTGCGAGGTGATTGGCACGGCATGAGTGAATTGCGATTCAGCTAACCTGCAACTGTAGTCTTTAAATCCTCTCAACTTCATCCAAGGCTGCATTTGGTATCTTGTCTCCAGCTACACATACTCGCTACACATACTCGCTTCCTCCGTGAGTGCCGCTTATCCTCGAGGTATACCAAAAAAAATAAGTCCCCTATCCCCACACAATAGCTTCGCCCGACTTAAAGCAAGTGACGTTGCCAAGGTCATCGAATTGCATATACATTTCTCCCACCTTTGCGATGGGAAACTCGGCAAGTTACCTCTCCAGCCCCAAAAGTGTTTGCGTGATGTGCGCCTCATACATTTGACCTCTATTTCTCGTGACTTACGTCTTTCGATGCAGTCGCAGGACTTCGTGTCAAAGATAGACTTCCCCAGCAGTCTAGGACCTTCGAAGGTGATGTCTTTCGTATGTAAATCAAGCTCGAGTTAAACTCCTTACTCCACAGGACATCGACTCTCTAGCACTTGAAAGCAAGGGACCTTCTTTGAAGCGTAAATTCGACCTCGGTGACCTGGTCACCCCTCGAAAGCGACGTCTTCTCAAATCTTATTCCACGGCGACATATGTCAAGTTGCTACGCTATATTCCGATGCTACGGTAAAGTTTTATTTTCAAAAATCGGTATCTAGCGTTAATGAAGCTATAGCCAAAGATAATTCGCCACAACACTGATTTAATCAGCCCTACAATGAATCAGCTTGTTCAGGGAAGCGGTATGGAATGACTCCTATACGCATAATTGTCTTTGCTGATTTTAGACTGTAGTCTGACATTTTCTTACAGCAGTAAAGCGGAGGCTCAACTAGATCCCTTTGCCCTCCAACGTGTAACATCTCATAAACCGTGCAAGACCAAGACGTTCATTTGGTCCCTACCCGTGGAAATCCTCATCGCTACTACCGTCGCCCTTCTAGGAGTGCAAGATCTGCGCACTGTAACACAAGTTTCTTCTCTGTTGAGAGAAATCGCTGCTCCGCTCTTCTTCCTCAACAGAAACTTCCCAACCTCCCCGAAGGATTTATTCCACATTCGTGTAGACCCGCAGAATTTTGACGTTCTGGCTACTTGGAGGCGAACGGATACTTTTCGTCCGCCGCGTATGGTGTTGAGTTGGCTGGATTCTGGTTTGCGATCCTCACAGCTATCCGCATTTTCCCACTTCCTCGAATCCGTCCCCCACAAATCGATACGATATATCACACTTCTTTGGAATTTTGACATTCTCACATCCCCGGTTCTCCCACAAATTGTTGCATTACTAGAAAGCATCCGTGCCTCCGGCGTCGAAGAGCTGACGTGCATGGGTTTTTGCGACGGGACAGTCTCATCGTCCGTCACCGGCCTTAACCCGAATTCAGCCGTGTGTAGGTGCGAACAACCTGAAAGCCTTTGAAACATGTTCGCGGGCATTCTTTTCCCCAAACGTCCTTCCTTTCACAATTCAAACCATCCGCCTTTCCCGCAGTTTGGAAAAGCTTCGACTGAGTTCCGTCAAGCTCAGTTCTGCGCATTGGGATAAACTCCTGCGCCATCTTGCGATTCCAACCCTTGTCGAACTCCGAGTCAATGCGGACTGTGCGCCATCCACGCTCGTTCGTTTTCTGGCCCGTCACCCTGCTATCACTAACCTCAGTGTCATCCCGCGACCTGGTAGTCCTTGGAGGGCCAATCGAATCACCCACTCGTTTGAGTCTTTCTCTGTCTATGCTAGATGGACCCCTGTCACATCTCCTCCCAGTCCTTCGGAGTCATCGTACGCGACAAATCTTCGCCTGCCTTCATATTTCCTTACAAGCACATGATGCATCGCCCGACTACATCGCCTCCATTTTACAATGTATTGGCTATTGCGACAGCATCGGATATCTTGTCCTTTCCTTGCCTAAAAGTCATCCCAGCAGTAGAGCAATGATGTATTTATCGGGCGCTCATTCTATGGTCAGCATCAAACACTTAGTGATTGACTACTCGGATGGTTTAGTCTCCGGTGCTGCAGGTGATACCTTGGTGTGTGTGTTGTTGTTGCAGCATTTTCAATACTAATTGCGATCATAGGCGCTATCTGCGGCATGGATTCAAGCTCTTCCTAAAGTCAAGCGTTTTACTTTGCGAGGTTACTCAGCTACTACTGCCGAGGATCTTGTCAACATCATGCGTAGCTTTGCTGCGGGTGATGTTGAATTAGGTGTGGATGTGCAGGTCGCACCAAAATCATAATATAATTCACTATACTACATGTACATAATAATATGACCCATCGGGGCGCTGAGCGCTGACAACGCCGGGCGCTGAGCGCCAAATTTAGGCGGAGTTTCATTACAAAGTCATTCAGTATTTAGACGCGTCTCGGTTGCTGACTGCCTTCTTTTCCGATTTCGATTGTCCTATACTAGCTGTAGTCCTGTAGTCCTGTACTGTAGTCATACTCGCACTGTAGTCAGTATGTATGATGATCATGAGCAACAATTAGCACAAAAGTCAGGCTCGTACTGATAATGAATGAAATACAAGTCGTCCGTCCGTTCGAATGTAAGTGCCAAGTACGTCTGTTATTCTCAGAAATTCTAAATTACACCCTGTATCTTAGATGGTTCGTTGTAATAACAACATGGGGCCTCGTCCGTTCAAATGTAAGACTTTCCCAATGCATCTGCGTTCTCAGAAATATTAATTTACACTTATACTGTAGATTCGGCACCTTATATCGTACAGAAGCCTCCTTGTAATTTGGCATCGCCCTTAACAACAGGGGATCCAGACGTGCTACTTGACGCTTTTATAGTGAGTTTATTCTTCTCTACCTTGACTTTATCTCTCAAAGATCAGATCAACAACTAGATGCCTACTCGCATGTTTCTTTGCAAGTGTGCGCGATGCTGCGACATTGGAGGGGACGGCGTGCCCAGGAATCCTGGCGGCAAAGGAGTGCCCATCGCCATGAAAACTGTGCATTTATTGCAAGCTGCCAACTCGGATTCGTCGTCCGAACGTGAAACATCCGTGCTTCATCTCGCTCGCCAGCAGCTAGAGTCAAACGCTTCGCAGGTCGACATTCTCGCCGCCGAGCTATTTGCCATCACGCTTACCGACAATGATACCAACCCAGACAGTCACAGCAAACTCTGGAATTCGCGTTCGGAAGTTCAGCAAGACAAGGGACAGATCTACCATTCTCTGAACGGTACAACCACGGTAGATGACATGCAGTGAGTAGGATACCCCGCCTCGCCTTATTTTTCTAACTTAGTGGTTCCCACAGACACATTGCTCGAGCCCTTCAGGCTGTTGAGCAGCGGCGCCGTTCAAAATCTCAATTAGCCTTGAATATCGTGGAGTCACGGATAGTCAAGGCTCGCAGTCGAATTTTATCTGCGACTTCTCGTGTTGTTATTCAAACTATCCGAGAAGAACTGGCCGTGATCGCGACGGCCCTCAGAAAAGTCAAGCACAAGGTCTCGTTTATCGTTTCCCAGCAAAACCCAGCTGGAGTCGTCGTGTGATGACATGTACGGGCTCCTTTGCGACAAGGAAGATGAGCTCCCTCTGACATCTGAGCCGTTCGAATTTGATTCCTGTGAGTTTTGTTCATCCCTCTTGTGCCCTTCGACTGAGATACGTGAAGCACACCATTTCGACTTGCCAGTTGATCTCTGCGACGAGATAGCTCAGGTATCCCTCTTTCTAGGGGCCGTCTCCGTCGTCATTTTTGGCATCGGTCGCAGACACGGGGAGTTCCTCATGGGAGTCCTTGCCCTCGTTTTGAGCCTTGCTATGGATGCTCAGACCCCTCATTCTGAGTCTCGCCGTCAAAATATACTCTCTCAAATTCCGCGCTCTATGGAAACCACCCTTTCGCGCTTCAGTCTCGATGGCCAGACTACAACCTACGCAGTCTGTCCGGCATGCAACTGTACTTATAAACCGACCACCGGCCTCAACTCAGGTCATGTCCGGTATCCCGCGAAGTGCTTCAACAGCCCGATACCAGAGAATGGTCCTTGCGATGAACCGCTGTTGCAGCTCTCTCATGATGGCCAATTAGTGCCAATTAAAATCTTCCTTTATCACCACTTCCACGACTACCTTGCTGGATTGCTCTCTCGTCCCGACCTCGAAGCGTTGATGGATAAGCCTTGCGATGATTTGCTGGCGTCCATTGGGAGCCCACCGCATATTATCAAGGATGTGTGGGATGCCAACTTCTTTCGTGATTTCAAGGGTCCTTCCGGGCAATCCCTATTTGTCGACAGAGGCGTCGAGGGTCGATACGCGTTCACCCTCAACATTGATTTTTTCAACATTGAAGGCAATCTCCAGCGAAATGCTTCGACTTCTACCGGCATCATCTCTTGTGCATGTTTGAATCTCCCCCTCGAGATGCGATATAAACCTGAGAACATGTACTTAGCTGGCATCATTCCTGGACCTTCAGAACCTTCGGGCGATGAGCTGAATCATTTTCTCGATCCTGTGGTTGACGACATGGTGGAAAGTTGGGAGCGCGGGATACGCTATTCTCGCACAGCTCTCCATGCTACTGGTCGGGTTATGCGCAGTCTTATAGCGTTTCTTGTATGTGACCTCCCAGCGGCGAGAAAGGCTGCTCAGCTGGCGGGTCCGACAAGCCACTTTTATTGCACTGCCTGCCATTGCTGGCACAGGTCAACTTGCGGTAGAACAGATATCCAATCTGAAGATTGGGTTCTCAGGGACAAGAACGAAGTGCTGTCGCTATGCTGAGCTCTGGAAGAACGCCGGAACTTCACTTGAACGCAACAAATTGTTTGCGTCGCACGGTGTGCGATGGTCAACACTCTGGAGGTTATCATACTGGGATCCCTCCCGTCAAATTGTTGTGGATACTATGCATTGTCTCCTTGAGGGTCTCGCACAAGCTCATTTCCGTGAATTTCTAGGCCTCACAGTTGACTCCGCCAATCGCAAGTTCGACGTTATCCCTGCTTTCGAATATCCTTTCGTTGACGTCGATCTTAACAAACCTCCAGAGTTTAACGAGAAGGACATCAACGTTATCAAGTCAATCTATAGCCTTCTTACAGAAGCGGTCACAGACCTGGAGGGAGCTGACCTTCAGCTTGTCGAGGATCACCTTATTGACTTAGAGAGAAAGCTTTTGTCGAAAAAGGTAGCATGCCTTCGGTTCGTATGTATAGGCTTGGGCATCGGGCCAGAGGTCATGCACCCCGGCAAAAAAGTTTACAAAGTTCACTGGGTTAGATCGCTCCTTGGTTGGGTAGGCATTTTAATACTGCTGTCTTCGTTCTCTCTTGATTAAGTGACCCATTTGTAGCGTCGAACACGACCTTTCTCTCCCGAGTCGTCAAAATCACGTATTGCTACACCAGAAGTTATGCAACGTATTTCTGATGTCATTAAGACGTCAGATACGCCCTCATTTTTAAGATCAGTCCCCTATAACTTTGGGGAAACCAAAGCTGGGACCGTGAAGGCCGACGAATGGCGCACATTAACGACCGTATACTTACCCATAGCACTAGTCAGTTTATGGGGCGAGGGGTCGGCACATCGCAACTCAGATATTGCAGCCAGTCGTCGTGCCATCCTTGATCACACGATGGCCCTTGTTTCTGCCATTCGTATCGCATGTCTGCGATCCATGACGAAGGATCGTGCAGACGCATACCGTACATATATGATCGATTGGATAGGGAATTTACAGGTAATACTCCCCCATGCACGCCATCGAACCAATGGCCATATGGCGTTGCACGTTTGGGACTATCTGCAACTCTTCGGACCCGTACGGTCCTGGTGGTGTTTTCCGTATGAGCGGCTCATCGGACAACTGCAGCGATTGCCTAGCAATCATATTTTTGGTAACATTTCAATTTCTTTGTCAATGATAGACATCTTATGCTATGCGGGTATGCAGGACAGCAAGAATCAACTCTCCTCCGGTCATACATCAAAGCTGCAAAGCTCAAATGCTGGCTGAACCGACCTTCTTGTCCTCCAATATTTAGAGAGGTCAAGTTGCTATTCGACAAATTTGTGTCTCCGTCGATCAACGCTAATCCCAGCGATGTATCTGAAAATCGCCCGCTGCCCCCGACTACAAAAGAAAACATTCCAGAAGACCTTCGCCATCTCATTCAAGTTCGGCGGGCAGTCTTGCATGCTCGCACGCTTCACGAGGGATTTGTCTACACTCGCGACTCCACTCATGTTGGCAACAGCCTGATTCTTTATTACCCTGACGGCCTTAGGAATGTACAACCGACACCAGGGACTATCAAATATATATTCGAGACCGAGCGAGGAGTATGCTTCGCCGTGCGGTATCACCTTCCATTGCATTCTCACCTCGATCCTTTCCGCCACTATCCTCACTTCCCGGCTCGTTTATTCTCGTCAGCACTCGCTGAACATCTCACAATTGTCATGCCGGAGTGGGTGGTGTCGCATTTTGCGCGGTGGAACTTCTCACCACAGCATATTGTTGCTGTGTCTCTGAGTCAGGTGTGTTGCGTCCCCTCGATCTGATAATTGTTGTCGTAACTCACGCACCATCAATAGGACTGAATTATACAACAAAACCACTACGCGTAAGGCAGTGACATCTCCATGCCAGGAGAAGCGGGCACTGACTCCAAGATTTTCAATACATACATAAGGCGTTTCATTTTGCTATCTTGCTTTTTTATCATATACAGTACGATTTAACATTCATGTTCTGCACTCTCAATACATCTTCCCCCTTGACTCCACTCTCAATACATTACGTAGTGATCAAGTTCGAGCTACCTTCTCGCATCGATGTGGAAATATTAGAATGTTTGGGAGCTGACCCGAAGAATGATTAGGTCAAGCAAATGCACGCCCCTAATGCCACTTACCATCCGGTAGAGATGCATTCCCGATATTGGTTCTAATCGAGAACAGCTTCCTTGGCTAGAAGTGAAGAAAGAAATGACAGAAGAGAAAGGACTTTCTTCAGACGTCGCTGATAAGATTGGAGAGTATGTCAAGCACAAAGGTAGGCGACCCTGATTTTGCGCAGAGTTAGATATCTAATCCCTTTCGTCATACAGGTGGCCCGTCGCTACTCGATCTTTTGAAAGCAGATGCCACTCTCATGGCAAACCCGAGCGCCAAGCAGGGTATTTCAGATATGGATATTCTCTTTACTCTCCTGCGTGCTTACAAAGTGCTGGACAAAGTAGGCTCGTTTTTCGTGAATCAGCACATGACATGACACAGGATGAGATACAGCTCTACAAAAACAACCGCGGCGTCGGTACCCAGCGTCTCAAGAACAAACGCAAAAGAAATCTGACGAAACCAAGAGCGTCCAGTCAAGAAACACGCTGGTGACGTCGAAGTGGTCGTCGATCACTGTAAGCGTTTATTCCCCCGCTCAACCAATCATTAACGCCCCCTTCACAGATTATTTGCGTCCAGAGGTGGGCCTAAAACAGCGCAAGGAGTCTCCCAGCCCTCGCCGCTGCTGGTCCAGCCAAAAAACATGTCGCAACGCTGTTGAGAACGTGCCAGAACAGGTGAGTTGTTTAAACTTAAGATTTTACTTTGTCACCTATATCATCTACAGACGCTCTACTATCGCCGCAGACGAGACGGGATGTAAACTGGGTTGTTGGAGACACGCCAAAGGCACTAGACAACTTTATGCGGAACTGCACATGTACACCAGGAGTGGTGCATGAAAGGGGCTCAATTGGTGCGCACGTGGAGGGGACGTCATCCTTAGACATACGCTGCCGCCGGGTAGCAGCTTTAGTGAGTGCCCCACGTCATACACGCTCCGGAAAAATCCGGACTGAGTTTCATTTCCGTTCTCTATATAAACCTCGTCTTGTCGTTACTGCAACCCTTTTTCCTGTTACTATACCATATCTGTAGGCGCGCACTTGTAAAAACGGTCCGGTTTTTTGCCGTTACTATACCCATATACCAGTACATACATACATACATACATACATTATTCAATATCATGATCCTTGGTCGCGACGGAGGCGGCTCTGATGGGACTGTTGCTACTGTAGTCCACCCTGATAGCTCTACAGGGATCATCAGCCCTGCTGCAGCACCAATACTAGAACAGCCTGCTGCGCTTGCCTCGTCACTATCTATCACTGACACTCCCATCAAACGGGAAAGTTCCACGTTGCTACCCTTCACGACCCTGTCGCGATGTCGAGTCGATACGCTTAACTCCATGGGAAAGGAGATGCAAGATTATATCGTTGGCCCGATGCCGGTAAAGGACTTCATCGACAAGTTCCTACCGAACCCTGGAGATTATGACATCTTGGACTTCACTTCGCGCTTCGCTTCGGCCTCAGAATCCGATGTGTTCAATTTGCGATCAATTCAAAGAGAGCAGGACGTTTATCAACCATTCGTGAGTCACCTCGTACCTATAATATTGTGATTATTGACAGTCTTAAGTACAGATTAACGGCATGCAAGAATTCGCCCCTCAATTATCGTTTGTGAACACTTCAAAAAATGCAGATACGAAGAACTGCTCATCATTTACTTTCAATGTCATGCCGGACGTATGCGTATACGCCGATGGAACATCTGACGGCTGCGATATTACCAAAGCTGAAGTGCACATCGAATTCAAGTGGAATGATGCTCTCGACGCATTCACCAAAAATCCTGGAGTCGATAAGCCTATCGTTTCTCAGACTGATAAGGCTTTCGATACACTCGGTCAAATAACGAGCTATGCTGCCGCTCAGCTCGGTGCTCAATATCGTACCCATTTATTCTCCGTCCTCGTCATTCGCAATCGTGCTCGTCTTATCAGATGGGATAGGGAGGGGGCTATCGTCACGAACGCCTTCGATTACCAGCACGAACCTCACTTGGCCGATTTCTTCTATCGTTTCGCGCGAGCATCGCCTGCACTGCGTGGTGTCGATACTTCCGTGACGGCAGCTAGCGACGAAGAAGCTACCCTTGCAAGGACAGCATTAAAACTTGCCCCTACCATACGCATGTTCAAAGTTGCGGTCCCTCGGGATCCAGCTGTCGAAAACTCTGGCTGGTTGACCCTCATTATTCCCCAACCTGTTGCAAAAGGTTATCCGCTTGTTGGCCGTTGGACTCGCACGTGCCCTGCGTTTGACATCTTCAACAAGACGGTTGTGATGTTCAAGGACTCTTGGCGCGTGTCGATCAAGGATGTTCTCCCGGAAGGCGAAACTTACAAACTATTAAAGTCAAACAAAGTTCGCAACGTCGCGACATGCATCGCATTTCACGATGTAATCCACCCTGTCCCCCAGCAAAACACCCAGACCGTCAAGTTTAGGAACGCCGAATGGGCGTGTCCTAACCAAGCTGTCACTCCTCACACCCTTCACCGCCTGGTTCTCGATATCGTTGGTGAGAAGTTGACTGACTTCGAGAGCTCTCGTCAACTTGTTCAGTCTGTTCGTGACGCATTGATTGGTATGTATTTTTAAACCTGAAGCCTCGCATATTTATCTAATGTCCCTACTATCCAGCCCATCACGATGCATTTGAAAACGCAAAAATATTACACCGAGATCTCAGCGTCGGGAATATCGTCATTTACCGAGGGAAGGGGTTCCTTATCGATTGGGACCTAGCAAAGCTACTCATTATCCAGGGTCCTCGACAGACGACCCGTACGGTATGTTCAATTCACGCTCAAACTCATATTGCACTGACTTTGCTGTTACTCAGGGAACCTGGCAGTTTATGTCCGCTCACCTCGTCAAAAACATCCACGCCGTCCATGGTGTCGAGGACGACCTAGAGTCCAGTCTTTATGTCGTTTTGTGGACGGCCTTGATGTTCAAGGAGAGCTACATGAGCTCCGTTGATCGGACACAGTTTATCATGCAGGTTTTCGATGCTGATCCGCTAGTGGGGTCCGGAGGATCTGCGAAATCGAACTGGCTCGTCGCAAGAACTGATTTTCCGCGGGATTTATTCGTCGACTGCAAACCGCTCGACGATGTCGTTCTTGAACTCGCGCAGTTCTTTGCGCATCGATACTCCGTGGTTCCTCCTGAGGCGCAGGAGACTCTTGTGCAATTGCGGCTCTCATTGGCCGAAATTATGGACGGAGTTGGGCCTGCGCCCACGGCTGTACAGCGGAAAATTATGAATGCTGCACAAAACGTCCTGTTGGAGTCGGTTGCCTACCAGAAGGAGATGGGGATGAAGAAACTGCAATCACACGAGGCCGTCATCGATATTTACAACAAACACCTTGAATCACCCGGCTGGCCTGATCAGGATGCGGCTGTACTGCGAAAACTGCATCCGATTGACAAACCCAACGGACGTCGTATGTATACAAAGTCACTGTGCGCCTCGCAGGTCGTGACGGGACAGCTCACACCCGCTAGTAAGAAACGTAGGCTGGATTCAGAGGGTAATGCTGAGACCCTCAGTAATCTTGGACTTGATGATCTTGCCTCTCTCAACCAATGACACTTTAGTACAGTACTTTGGAAGCCTGTATTTCTCCTTGCCATTACTGTACACAATAAACATTTCGTTCTCGCGTGTTCTGAATTGCCAATTGCAAAATGCCCGAGCGTACTGCCCGATCAATGCCCGATGGATTCTTTATGAGCGCGCGATGAATGCCCGCCGGATGCGCAGGTCATTTAACTATGTATTAAATTTCTTGTTTTCGCAATCAACTTTTACCCACAAGAAAATTTGTGCTTTGCAACGGGAATATAAATGTCAGTCATTATATAATATTTTACTGACCATTTTATGCGCCTCAAATTTTGTATTTCCTAAAGACAAAATTGGATTGCAAAGTTTAATATCTGCATTGTCATTTTCCCGGCGGAAAACTTGAAATACTTTTATCTATCTAGACCGGACTGAAAATATTTGTCAAAATATGTTACTTTGCTCTCTCATCTCACAACACTCCAAATTTGTTATCGTTCCAACGTCGAAATTTAAATTCAAAATCCCTTATTTATCAATCTCATTTTGATTGCAGTCTGACTTGCAGAAAAATTCGGAAACCGCCGATGTGTCATCAAAGGTTTGAAGGTCCGCTAGTCCCGGAAATGCATCGGGCCGCTCTTTTCATCATAGTTTGCCCCTAGAGGCTACGTGACATGGCAAGGCCACAAGTAATTTAATGATCATGGATTATACGAAAATGAGACGATATGGGAGGTGACAAAATGCAAATGAAGTGTCAAGGACCCAAACTATCAGATATCGCATCGATGCGAGATAGTAGCGGGTAACCTGATGTGTATGAAGATCGGAAGGAAGAAAAAAAGGCGGACCTAAGGACTGCTCTGCATTTCAGAACAGACCGTATGGCGTAAAAATCGTGGAGATACACTCTGTTCACTTTCGTCAGCGAACGAAGAACAAGATAGTGCCAATATCATGTACAAGCGCTTCCTTTTGTATTAAATGCAGTTTCACTCATATTCATATGCGATAACCGGAGGTATATATTGTCTCTGTGCGAGTATCATAGTTGAACTGATCAAGCGCCGTATGTTCATGTACAATTGCACACACCAGGTTAACCGAGTACTGCTGCGTGCCTCTAGAAAGAAATCATGCATCCTTTTTCGTCTCAGGCGACATGATCACACTACCCGGAGACCCCATCATCATCGCGCCTTCTTCAATATTCCACCCCGCTTCCTTCATGCATCCCGTGAAACGAGAGAACTCCTTCCTGAGCGTCTCATGCGTCGAGAGCACCATGTCCTCGATTTCACTAGGACTAGGACTGGGACGCATATGCCGGGCACTCCACATCGCAGCTATCTCCAGCGCATGCAGCCAAGCACGCAATTGGTCCAGGGATCCGTATCCTTCTTTGAAAGACACCAAGATACATGGTCCGCGTTGCCCCCATGATCGAGGCTCCGCCACGAAGAGAACGTATGGTTCTTCATGAAAGTACTGAAGCATCTTGAGAATGTGCGATGTGTCACAGCGTGTCATAGCGTACTGCACAGATACGCCCAACGAGCAGTGTCCGATGACTCTGTTGGAGACTGCATCGCGGATGCGGCTGGAAATATCTAAAATTATCTCTCGGTTCGATACATCTCTTGGGGTCAAGACGACAGAACGTCCGTCCGCTCCTGCTTTCGGGTTACGGAACGTACTCCAAAGAATGCTAGACCGCTGCCTGTTAAACGAGCGGAGTACGACGCTGCGCACCGCAAGATAATTGGCTAAAAGATGGCCAAAGACGAGGAAGAACAGGGCGGTGTAAGTTGAGGTGCGGGTCGTGATATAAGGAACGACGAGCGTTCCGAGCTATTAATATTGCCAAGTCAGCTACGTCCATAATTCTCAAAGGGTATTCACCAAGACACCTGTCAATGCAACCACAGTTGATCTGCTCGCGCTTTTAGCATTCAATTCGCCTACGTCGCCTTTGCTGTTCACGGGTGAAGCGAAATGGTCTGTGAGTGCTGCTTTTGATCCGCCTGCGACGAGTCCACAGAGAGATCTCAAGGCTCCGCTCATACACAGCGCTACGATTTGGAGGGTCGAGCCTGATGGGATATATGGAGATGTTGTAGAGAGGGATATGCTGGTGAAATATGGCGATATGGTGTCCAGGACAATGGAGGTGTCGTTGACGACGTCTGCGAGAAAGCGGAATGTTTTAGTTTCGGGGTATAAGGAGGTACCAAAGTAATAGGCGCCTATTATGGCTGGAGGGATGTTGTCAGCGGGTGTGAGGGGTGCGGGGTAGACAGGGAAAACTTACTTGTGAACCGCGAACAGACATCTTTCAGTACTGTCAGAAGGAGCGCTTGGGTTGCTGATGCCGATGCGTCGCCCACTCCGAAACCTGTATCGCCGAACTGAACAAAACTTGTATCTGCATCAGGGGATGAGCATACCTTCGAGCGCGCCTCTGGAAGCCAGTAAACCCGACAAAGAACTACAAAATTCCTGCACGTCGTTGTACATTTGATAGCTGGGACGAAGGTACGGTCATGTCTGAGACCATGACGCTCACGTAGCGGTAGGAGCTACTGACCGCAGATAATCTGCATGCGTTTACATGAGGAAGAGCTTGGATGGAATGTTATGTTTACGTGCTTACCAGGAGTGACAGAGTTTGGATATCCAGCTGGAAGGAATATCGCTGAGATACTATGTCCTAGAGCATGAAAGGATTTGGCATTGAAAAGTCGAGCTTGGGGAGGTGCTTTGATATCAGTAGTACGTGTTATCTGTTGAGAAGCTGTGAGATGAGATACACTGGGAGGCTTTGTGCTTACCTTCTTGGTTGATATGTCGGCACTATGTCCAACAGTGGTGTAGAATATACGTCCAGTTTCGTCCTTTTCTGCTACCACTGAACTGCTGATTGTCATTTTGTGGGACGTGGCAGTTTGATGACTTGGACTGAAGTCTGTTTTACGCTAGTGACTCAAACTTTGTTCAATTGAAATCTGTAGAGCTGCAAGTTGTGTTTGAGAGTTCCCGGATGAATTTGGCTTAGTACTGAGTGCACCTCAGTGGATGGAGAGAATTGTGGGACTTCTGCAGACGCTTAGACTGTCGACACCTGTTTTGGCCGTTCCCATGACCCATTCCACGCAAACGGTCATAACAGGTCTCTGGACAGTGCGGGGGTAGCGTGCACAGTGATAGTGCAACAGAGTGACTGAGTCATGCGAACAAGGCTTTGGGAAACCTTGAAACAACTTTCCTTCTATTTGGTGTGCCTAATATGTAATACGAAGCCGATTCTCCTGCTCATAATTATCTCCTCCAGGTTACAGTTGAGGCTTCCGGACCATAAAAATATGAGATAGATATGCAAAGCAAGTAATGAGAGAACGATGTTCTCGACACTACTTGGGTTGCATTGCTATCAAAAAAGTGTGGACAAATCCGGACTCGAACCGGAGACCCCCCGCATGCTAAGCGGATGTGATAACCAGCTACACCATATGCCCCACGACAGGGCGGCTTTATAATGGATTCTGGAGGGTAAACGTACTTTCGGCGAATCCCGGGTGCACGTGAAGACCTTACTTTACGAGTTCATGTTCGTCACCCTACCTTCTTGCCTAGATGGACGCTGCACCCACCACTCCAGCTGTGCCGGTGCCGCCAACGGACATGTCAACTGCAGACGTGCAGATGAAGGACGAGACTACCGTAGAGGACAAGGTCACTGAGAATGTTCAGTTAACCGAAACCGGTGAATCAGGCGCGGGTGAAGTACTAGGACATGAAGCAACCCCGAACCCAGATGGACCCTGTACTACAAGCGAAGAGGTTCCAATGACCATAATCGCCTCGGACAGCGGCAAGGAAGTACAAAAATCTAACTCGGACCCGCTTCCTGACGTCAACAGACCTCAAGACACCATTATTATTACTAGAGATATTAGTATCCCACCAATATCACGTCCACAGTCTCCATCAATGCCACCTCCATCACGTCCTGCTTCACGTCTACCACCAATGGGTTCATTCCAAGTCCCTTCTCAGCCTTTGCTAGATCGTCCTCTCAATGTCACAGATGCTTTGGGCTACCTTGATGCTGTCAAAGTACAGTTCCATGACCAGCCAGATGTTTACAACCACTTCCTTGACATTATGAAAGACTTTAAGAGTGGACTGTGCGTTTGATATTTTGTTCCTAAATTCATTCCTCATATTCCTACAGCATCGATACACCAGGCGTTATAAAACGCGTCTCCCATCTTTTTAATGGTCACCCTTTCCTTATCCAGGGCTTCAACACTTTCCTCCCTGTCGGTTATCGTATCGAGTGCTCCACCGACCCACAACAGTCCTCTTTTATCACTGTCACCACGCCTACAGGAACAATGCTCCAGTCCACCCGTGACGATTCTTGGCCTTCTGCTCCTCCAGTTCCTCCAGCTACCGTATTGGTTGAACCCGACGCAAATATGTACGGCAGTCTCGACAGCTCCGCTATAGAACCAGCCGTTCAGTATGTCCAAAAGATAAAGCAACGCTGCGACGAGGCCACGTATCGCCGATTTCTAGAAATTCTCGGCAAGTACCATAACACCACCGACGCCGTCGACGAGGCGAGCCTTCTGCCTTTCGCATTCCCATTAAACCCTGATGCATGTTTCACAGCGCGAAGTGTCAGCTGAAATTGCCCGTCTTTTCAAAGACGATCCTGATTTGCGTGCCGACTTTAGGATTTTTATGCCTGAGAAGAGCCAGGCTCTTTTTGATGAAGCAGAAGAAAGCTATCTCACTGCGCCAACAGGACGCCGCACGCGCTCAAACACGCCCCTAGATGGCAAGCCTGTCCGCCGTCGCACAGACCCCCAACCTCTCATCGAACCCTCTGTCCCTCAAAAACGCAAGCGTAAGGCCAACGAACGGGACACTGTCTCCACCGCACCCAAAGCTCCCTCCAAGGTGACTCCCTGACTCCCAAAAGACAGATAACCCACTGACCTATCCAAGCTCAAGCAGCCACCCCTTCCCCCCCTCCCTCCTCCCACCAGACGACACGCACTTCTTCGACCGCGTCAAGCGTGCGCTGGGGAACCGAGACACTTACAATGAGTTTTTGAAGCTCGTAAATCTCTTCACCCAGGAGCTTATAGATACTGCACGTCTCGTCCGTGAAGCACGGAATTTCCTGGGAGATGCCGAGTTAATGCGCCAGTTTAGGGAGATTCTTGGCTGGGATGATAGGCGCGAGAGGGAGCGGTGGGTGTTGGAGGAGAGTCAGCAGCAGCAGACTTGGGCGAGGGCACAAGGCCAGGGAGGCCCTTTGATCGTCCCAATCCGCCCAGGCAGAGTAAATGCAGGGCTCCAACAAGGAAGCTACCGCCGAATGCCAGCCAGCGTGAGCCCTCCCTCCCTCCACCCAAGTATTCTATACTAACCACCACACAGGAAGCCAACGTCAGCTGCGCAGGGCGCGACGAGATGTGCCGCGCAGTCCTCAACGACGAATGGGTCTCGCACCCAACCTGGTCATCCGAAGACGCAGGCTTCATAGCGCACAGGAAAAATATCTACGAAGAAGCCCTCCACCGCTCCGAAGAAGAACGCCACGAGTACGATTTCCACGTCGAAGCAGCTACGCGCACCATCACCATTCTCGAGCCTCTCGCTGCCAAAATCAGCCAACTCCCGCTCGAAGAGCGATCTGCGTTTAAGCTGAAACCCAATCTCGGAGGCTCCGGCAAAGCGGTGCACGCACGCGTCATCAAGAAGATATACGGACGCGAAGCTGGAATGGATGTTTTGCAAGCGATGCAAGACGCGCCGGCCCTTGCTATCCCCGTCGTCCTCATGCGCCTCAAAGAGAAAGAAGAAGAATGGAAACGCGCACAGAGGGAGTGGAATAAAGTATGGAGGGAAGTAGATGCCCGGAACGCTTCCCGTGCTTTGGACCACGCAGGGATTGCATGTAAAGCCGCGGACAAAAAAGCTCTCTCAGCAAAAGCGCTCGTAGCTCAGATCGAAGCTGCGCGCGATGCGCAGGTGAGCCAGCGGGCTGCGCTTGTGGACCCGTTGTTTGCGCGTGCGAGGGTGCGGCATCAATTGGCGTACGAGATCGCGGACACAGGTGTCATGCAGGATGCTGTGAAGATGGCGTTGTCATTTTTGGATAGGACGCAAGGGCAGATCGGAGCTCCTGAGCGAAGACGCGTCGAGGGGTTTTTGCGGACGTTCGTTCCACTGTTTTTCGTTTTGGATCAAGAAGTGTTTCATAGGGCATTTGCGCTCGGGGAAGCGGGGGAAGTTGAGATGGGGGAGGATGGGGATGATGGGGAAACGGGGAGTGTTTCGAGTGGAAGTGGGGGGAAGAAGAGGAAGGGCGGGGTTTCTTCGGGTGGGGATTTGAGGAAGAAGTTGTTGAAGAGCGAGCAGGCGAAGTTGACGGGGAGGAAGACGCGTGCGCAGGAAGCCGCGTCCCCGTCTGCGTCTAGACCTGCGTCTCCTGCGATACCTGATACAATGCAGGTAGATGCCGTGGAGGAGGGGGAACGAGAGCCTGCTGTGCCGTTGCGCAAGGCATCGAGGAAGAATGTGTTCTTTGGGAATACAGTGTTTTATGTGCTTTTGAGACTTCTTGAGGTGCGTGGTTTTTATTTGGTGGTGATTCACTTTTTCATTCCTGACGTTCGTTTGGCTATAGGTATTATACGCCAGATTGCTATTCTTCAAAAAGCTCAGCGCGCGCATCGCTATCGAAGCACCCAAATCAGCGTCTAAAGCGAAATCGGTCGCTACGACGCTAGGGATGCCGTCCCTCGTCGAACTCGCTCAGCTAGACGACCGCGCTACTCATGCAGATCATTTCTATGATCTCATGCTCGAGTCGTGCGAGAGGTTATTTGATAATGAGATCGAGCAATATGTATTTGAGGAGCAGATGCGGTATATGTTTGGGGTGAAGGATGCATACCGGATATTTACGATCGATAAAGTTATTGGGTCGTTGATCAAGCAGGTGCGTCGTGCTCCTTGTATTTTAGTTGTGATTATTGTCTGACGATGTGGGGATAGGTCCAGATTGTGTTGGCTGATTCTAGGAGTCAAGAGCTCTTTGAGCTTTTGAAGCGCGATCGGGCACTACCAGTGCCGACGATCCAAGATCAGCTTAACAGTCGACGATTCGCGGAAAATCTGCTTGGACCTGATGAGAACATTTTCCGAATAGATTGGGTGCGTCTTTTCTGTTTTCTGGTCCTTTCAGGTATTCATACGTGGTTGGAATTACAATAGCTCCCAGACACGAAGATGATGACGATTCAATTACTCGGGAAAGATGATTCGAGGATAGATGATTCAGAGATGTTGGCGGAGAGGTGGCAGGCGTATGTGGATTCGTTCGTGTCGGTGCGTGTTCCTTGGTGTAGGGTGTTATGACGTTGGTTGATGCATTTTGTGCTTTACAGAGTCCTATCACGGAGGGTATATCTCAGTCCCGCGTTAGACGTCCATTTCTTCGCAAGTGCGTATATACTCTTCACCTTCCCCCCCACACACGTATACAAATGTTGATGCTTGTTTTGCAGGAACGTCCCTCCATCAGCTACTGCTAGTACCCCAGCGGTGCTCGCACGTAGTGCACTAGAAACGAGAGTATGCGTCCGGACAGTACCGTCTGTTTTTCGTATCGGGTACGGAGGACTTTTTGTGGCGGATCCCGTCCAAGGCGGATTTTGTGACTGCTGAACGGAAGGAGGAGATGAGACGGGAGCGACGGACTATGAAGGCAGGGGAGTGGAGTCCTGATGTTGTGGTGACGAGGGCGAAGGAGCCGACGCCCGTGCAGGCTGTGAAGGAACAGACCCCTGTGTCTGTGTCTGTGTCTGTGTCTGTGTCTGTGTCTGCGCCTGAGCCTGTAAGGGTGGTTTGAGGTGAGGTGTTGGTGCTGGTGTCAGAGGAGACGTGCGCGCGTAGCGTAGGTATTTTGTATCGTGCATATAATCACTTTAATCTTGTTATTGAATTTTTTGGACTTAGGCTCGAGTGTTTTTCCAGATTTAGATCAGATATGCTATGCACAGTACTTGGCTGAAGTAGAAGAGACCTTGGCCAAGATATCATATTTTCAACATGGCCAATGTACCTTCTACTTCAGCGCATCGAATATGACTAGGAAATCGATGTTCCCGTGCGGCTCGGAGGTAGTGTGACGTGTACACGAGTAAGTCTAATTGTGGCTGCGCAACAAGAACTAGTGCCAATATTAATACGAGTTCGACAGTGAATGATCATATGAGATGAGTGAATGGTGGTCAATCTACTGCCCAGTGGTACGAAAATATATACGGTAGACGAGTGGCTCATCAGTCAACGCGATACAAAGGGAATTCTATCGTCAGCAGAGCATTGTTTACATGAGGAACGACAGCACTAAGCCATTGTTCGTGGATAGCAACGACGAAGTTCACAACCTGCTTTCAGGTCGGATGTCATCAGACGGAGGGACTTTGTGATGCGCGATGTCAAGTCGAAGACTTAGACGAGCTAGCCTTCCGGTGTTTAGGACCACGACTTACCAGTATCCATATACGAAGTATTTAACGATTGGAGCAGGCAAAAGGAATGTAATAACAGCTTCATTCAGGAGTCAACTTTACAGCCTGGCTGTCCAATGGCAATACATCAACGCGCTGCCTTCTGAGAAACATATATCGCATGATGATATACGTCATGCTACTAGCCAGTGAAACGATCTGTTGATTTAATTGGACTCGACGGAGTTCTGGAGAAAATAGTGGCGACCCACCCCAGAAAACAGAGCCGGTATCCACCAGGTATAACTAGATGCTAGCAGAGCGCCGGATAGCCTATGGGTGTTCCTGGATAAAGCGTTAGAATTCGACGCAACGACACCACTGAACACACCTATCAAACTTCCGAATCTTGCACAGGTGACCACGCAACAAGTCAGAACACCATCGAAGGAGTTATAATACCCACCAAGAATGAAGAGACAGATGCCCATGCGCGCGCTAAGATCCAGATCAGATGGTTCGGACGTTCAAATCCAAGCCTAAGCCTTGCGAGGAGAATCATCTAAAACTGAGTCAGAAAACGAGATTTTTAAATCAGGGGAGGTTACCTGGTAGGTAATGATCGGGTTTCGACAAAGACAACATGAATAAAGAGAAACTCTGCAGAACCGATCCGGCAATCATGAGATGGTTACTAGTCAAGCTTGCTGAGTATCATCGAGAACCTCCGACATATCTACACTCACAAATATCCTCGGTCGTGAGCAAAACGCGTTTGTGCTCCCGATCCATCTACAAGTCTCAAAGATACCCGCTATGAAAACGCAAGTAGAAACTCACGATATAGCAGACGTCTCATTTGTCAGGTAATGTTGGATATAGAAGTCTGGAGGGCAATATGTTGAATGTTCCATGCTCGCTTTCGTCTACAGCAATACCTTGATAGATACCAAATAAAGCGATACAGCTTTTAGCCTGAGTCAGTCACAGAGCCATTCCCCGCCAACACCAGCACTGGACTCACCCAAACCCGCAAAATTGCACAAGAAGACTGAGTAGATCAAGTTAGAACCAGCCCACCAGTCTAAAGGAGTATGAGTCTTCTTACGATCCAAAAGCAGTGATCCAATCTGCCAGACCATCTTCAGTAAAATTATTCATGCGGGTTTGTGGGAGGGCCGCAATCCTTAATGACTTGACATGCCTCCAATGTCTCTAGGCACCCTTTGTCCCCTTGGAGTGCAGTCTCGTCTGTATGAAACGTCCGAAGCTCAGATTCGGGTGGCATCCTGGGCTAGGAGAACTGACAATAATAGAAACCGTACAGCACTTGAGTATTTATGTGCATGCAGCTGATCATGAACCTATCATGTTGTCTGTCGAGTCGGGCGACCGATGCTGTAAACGTCAACACAACACGTCGACTTTGTTTGTAGATGTGCTTGTCGTTGGCTGTCAATTTACGAAGAGGGTTTTCGGGCGAGCCGATTATCGAGACCCTGATCGTGCGGTAATGTGTGTGAAGGACTCGGAGCTGGCGTCTATGGAGATTCGGAAGGAAAGTATGTGTGTCTGTGACGGTGGTTTTGTTGGTATCGAAGGAGCCGTACACGCGCACCTTAGGTGGTGTGTTTTGTGTATATGATTACTTTAACCTCGCTATTGATTTTTTTAAAGATGGTTGGGCTTGTTAATAGATTCCGCCGATCTGTAGATACGTGTGGGAGTGCGAGGATCTTCGAACAGTGACGTTATTCAAAGATCCTAGCACTTCAGCAATTATCTAATAGTAATACGATTCCTGTGCGGTTCTGATGGAGACAACAACGTGTATACATCATGATACGATGGACACAAGCAGAAGCGTAGATTCCAAAAATGTTGTAGATCTTCTCCGTAGTCGCATCATTAGGACAGGCGAAGCGTGTTTTGGGCCAAGGCGGAGGAGGTATGGCCGCAGTGCCATTGGTCGTGTATGGGAACGTCGAAATTCGTAACCTGCTTGCAGGTTGGAGTGACTTGTCGTCAAGCCGAGGGACCAGTTTGTGCGTGGTGGTATTATTACATGTGAAGTTTTTTTCGTGGTATTCTGCTTCTGTTTGTATTTTTGACACATCGAGTCATCGCCTTGCATGATGCATTTTCAATCTAAAACATGGTCAGATCTACATAGAAGAATTTGGGTTAGATCAAGCTATTCAATTGTCCGGGCAAATACTGCGAACTATAATGGAATGCAATTTTGGCCCAACGGGCATTAATCCAGAGATATCCTGATTTTAGCCAAGTGACAAGTCGTTTTGTTATACTTGTGCGGGCGGTCAGATGAGTACTGCAATCAAGTCGGTGGAAGGCAGTCGTATGAAGCTAGCCTGGCCTAGCTACCCAGAGGGCCAGAGTATTAATCTCGGAGACTCGGAAGGAAGATGTTCCTTAGATGATGGCATCACTTGTATTGTGGCTCGGGCGCTCAAAGAGTTCACACAGTGTTACCCTTCCTCCATCATGGATCCTTCAGAGTTGAGACAGAATTTCAAGCGTTTCCGAATCCTCATCATAGGAAGAGCGAATGCAGGAAAAACCACCATCCTCCAGAGGGTCTGCAAGACACGGGAGAACCCAGAAATATATAACAGCGCTGGGGAAAAGGTACAGTCCATGATACCAGTAGTGACTAGGATGATGATGATTGATCGATGGACATCGGAAATCAGATCGATCTCGCTGTCTTGATGGCATCTAGAGAGGTAGGGCTTGTTCTTCGTTGTTAGTAATATAACTTGACGAGTTTTTAGCGCGGAGTGCATGATATCGCGAATGAAATGGTGTTTCGAAACAACCCAGGATTCGTCTTTCACGATTCACGCGGGTTTGAGGCAGGAGGAAACTCTGAATTCGACGAGGTGAAGGACTTTTATCGCAAGACGTTCTAAGGAGAGACGTTTGAGTGATCGAATCCATGTCATATGGTACTACGTTGGTCAATTTTTAGCGTGTTATCTCACATCTTTGGTATAGGTACTGCATTCCAATGGATGAGGATGGGAGGTCTTTCACGGAAGGGGAAGTCAAGTTTTTCTCTCAGTGCGACACTGGAAGCGGTAAGTTTTTGAATCTGCTATCGTTTATCTTCGACTGATTTACAATCGTCAGTTCCAGTAATAGTGTTGTTCACTAAATTCGACGCTCTATATGACGATGAATTTGCCGAGCTAATAAGTCAGGGAGTATCGAGAAAAGATGCTGAAGTGCTGGTCCCCCAACATGCCAAAGAAGCATTTGCCAATGGGCCACAACTGAAGCTTTTGTACAACCGCAAGGGCAACCAACGTCCTCCAAGATGTCACATATGCCTGCCTGGTATGTCGACTATTTTCTCGAGCTGCTAATAATCAATTTGTTGCTTATCTTCGCTCTCGGACATTTAGATATGGATAAGGACGATGCAGACTGCACGCCACTTATCGAACGCACGGCGGAAACTCTAGATGACGATACGCTCAAACAGCTGTTTGTCTCAACTCAGCGGACTACCCTGGAGGTGTGCATGAGATATGCAATCAAAGGGTAACTTCTCGAACCTCACTTATCTGTGACGAGAGATAACTCACTGTGTATTGAGGTCACTTGCACATCATCTCGACTCCACCCAGGCAATTTCATCGCGCATATTTGGGAAATCCGATCGCAAGATTGTAAACCAGTTGGGTGCATGGTTTCCATACACTACAGTGAGATCGTAGAAATTTTTGAAAACTCCTCTCATTTATATCTGATGGTTACTTGTAGATAGTACGTCTGATCATCTCTACCAGCATGCTGACCTAAGGTATTGCTGACCCGTCGACAGGATGTGAGTGTGTTGATCCTCTGTTGAGCTCGAACCTTGCTGGCAGAACACGTCGCTGATCCCTTGACAGTCTGTGAGTGTGTCGATCCTTTGTCGAGCTCGAGCCTCGCTGACCGAACGCGTCCTTGATCCCTTGACAGGATGTGAGTGTGTTGATGAGCTCGAGCCTCGCTGATCGAACGCATCCCTGATCCATTGACAGGGCGTGAGTGTGTTGATGCTCTGTCGAGCTCGAGCCTCGCTGACCGAATGCATCCCCGGTCCCTTGACAGTATGTGAGTGTGTTGATGCTCTGTCGAGCTCGAGCCTCGCTGACCGAACGCGTCCTTGATCCCTTGACAGGATGTGAGTGTGTTGATGCTCTGTAGAGCTCGAGCCTCGCTGACCGAACGCGTCCCTGATCCCTTGACAGTCTGTGAGTGTGTTGATGCTCTGTCGAGCTCGAGCCTCGCTGACCGAATGCATCCCCGGTCCCTTGACAGTATGTGAGTGTGTTGATGCTCTGTAGAGCTCGAGCCTCGCTGACCGAACGCGTCCCTGATCCCTTGACAGCGCGTGAGTGTGTTGATGCTCTGTCGAGCTCGAGCCTCGCTGACCGAAACGCGTCCCTGATCCCTTGACAGTCTGTGAGTGTGTTAATCCTCTTTCGAGCTCGAGTACTGATGTGTTGATAACGACAGTACGCAAGTAGATTTATCCTCGACCATTTCTACCTTTTGATCGTGATTCATCAGCGTTACCCTCCCCGAAGATGAGGAGATGTGGTCCATGCTACGATTTTCGGCATGTCCCATTGCTCACAGCTCATCCACATAATTCTCATCTCAAAGGTCTACTAGCCCTTTGGGTCATCAACCTTGGACAAAACTATGCAGCTTGGATCTGGTGAGATTTTATGCCACATTGCAATGAGTCTGCTTATTTTTGATCATAAGCTGCTGTTATAATCTTCGAAAACACATTTTGTCTTTGGGAACAGCGACGACAGCATAGACTTTTGGATCAGCAACACCCTCTTGAGCTGGAGTCTGTTCGTCCTGTTCGCGTTGCTCTTCAGCAGTACATAGCGTCTCCCAATGCAGCTGCTGTCAGGGAAGCTCTGAGCTCTGCCGTCCACACATATGAAGCAGGCTTCTCTCAGTGGATACCAGGGTCGACCAAAAGCTCTCAGAAGAAAGCAGAGTTAATCAATACAATCATTGAAGTTGTTTTACAACACCGCCTGCGTATGTGATATGTGGTGCAGTTGTCGCAGCCCCGCTGATGTATTCATATTCAGCAATACCTGAAGTCCAAGCAATATGACGATATTGAGCTCAGCGGATTGCGGTTTCTTGGTTGGCTGATGGCATGTCCGTGAAGGTGGTCAAGGAGGTAGAACTGTATGAAACTGTTGAAGGGGGTCTCTTCAATGTAATAAGTAATATCGTGTCTGGGAGTTTTGCCAATTTTGCCAGTGCACCAAATGCCAGTCGTGCTCACTTTTACACCCTGCCAGTAGACATGCAAGGCGCTGAAAGCCGTGGTTGACACTTACCGTGACGCACTGAGGCAGCAGGACTGGACACCATAGAACCTCATAAAAGAGCCTCGCCAGTGTGATGGTGTCGCAAAGTTGCACGGCACCAACGAAGCTGATCTGCATCACGAATGGGATGCTCTGCTTCTCAACTTCTTCTGACTTATTCTTGGCCAACGGAATGTGTTGTGTAGTGACTGGTTCATACGCCAGGCCAATTTGATTCTAACTATTCGGCTACTAGGCTAGAGCAACAGCTCTCAATCTTGTTTCCGATGACTCTTCCTTTGCGACACGAGTACAAATGTTGCTGGCGCCTATGAGAGCCTTTGTCACAAACGACAAATGTCTCTCCTCCCTACCACAGGTATATCCTAGTCGGGAGCAGGCTGTGGCAGCGCGACATCAAGCACCTTCAGTGTTGTGAAGATCTTACGCGTCGCTGTGTGAGTGGGAATTCTGCTGAGGCGATTGCATATCATTCCTCTAGGAATATGAGTACTGGAAAATGTGATGCCATCCTTGTCATTCTATCTTCCAGCGTTGCTACTGCGATGCTCCAGTATATATCTAGTGTCAGCAAACAGAAAGCTTTTGCATACAGGCTCTAAAACCCAAGAAACTTGACGCGAGTGTGGAAAAAAACTTCATACCAGGTTGAGAAGACCGTCGGGGAACACACGCATGAGTTTGTAGAGGTGGTGCAAGGTGTTGGTGTTGTTGGTGTTAGAGGAGGAGGTGCCGAGCTACGCGAGCAGCATAGGTGATATGTATTGAGCATATGATTGCTTGAATCTTGTTGTTGATTTTTTGCAGTATGGTTGGACTTTGTTACAGATATTTTCAGACGAGACGTTCCATATAGACAATAGTACGTAGTACTTACCAGATACGGGCGGAAGTCCGAGGATCTTTGGATAGAAACTATCATTCAGATACCCTCACACTTCAGCATTTATCGAAAACGAGTCGGAGGCCAGCCGCCGGTGCTCCAATGGCAAAAGAGCCTCGCCAGTGTGATGGTGTCGCACAGTCGCAAACTTGCACGGCGCCAACAAAGCCGATCTGTGTCACAAATGGGATGGTCTGCTTCTCAACTTCTTTTGGCCTATTCTTGGTCACCGTGACGGGTGTTGTGCAGTGGCTGGTTCATACGTCAGGCCTATTTCATTCTAACTATTTGTCTACTAGGCTAGGGCAACAGTCGAACTTGGCTCTCAGTCTTGCTTCCAATGACTCCTCTTCCTTTGCGACACGAGCACAAGATGTTGCTGGTGCCTACGAGTCTCGAGAGCCTTTGTCACAAACGACAAATGTCTCTCATCCTTACCACAGGTATATCTGATAGTCGGCAGCAGGCTGTAGCAGCGCGACATCAAGCACTTCAGTTTTCTGAAAATCTTACGCGTCGCCATGTGAGTGGGAACTCTGCTGAGGTGATTGCATATCATTCCTCTAGGAAGGAGTACTGGAAAATGTGATGTCATCCTTGTCATTCTATCTTCCAGCGTTGCTACTGTGATGCTCCAGTATATATCTAGTGTCAGCGAGTAGAAAAGCTTATACCAGATTGAAAGACCATCGGTCACAGCCAAAAAACCACGTCCTGCAAATCGCTTCAGGTCCCCTCCTCTCGCATATCGGAATCTGATCGAAAGAAGTTGCACAGCCCGTTCATTTATCATCTTGATGGCAATCAAGCGACCAGAATATTTCCAAAAATACGATGAACCTAGTGGAAAGGACCTGCCACTCCCAGTGTTATTGGCCAAGTACAAGAAGAGGGATAAGTCCTCAATTCGGCAGCCATGAGCCAGATGAAGACTTACCTAAGACGCGCTGCCTTCTGAGAAACATATATCGCATGATGATAAAAACCATGGTACCAGTCAGTGAAACTATCTGTTATGTAGTTGATTTGATTGGACTCGATGTGAATTCTGGAGAAACAGTGGTAGTGACGGTCGACTCACCCCAGAGAACAGACCCGGTATCCACCAGGTATAATGCGACGTTAGCAGAGCGCCGGATATAGGTGTTCCTGGATCAAGCGTTAGAATTCGACGCAACAGACGACACCATTGCACTCACCAATCAAACTTCCGAATCCTATACAGTGATCCCGACAGGTTTCCTTAACATGGAAGCAACAGTAACATTGATAATATTTACCAAGAATAAAGAGACAGATGCCCATCCGCGCACTATGATCCAAATAAGATGGTTAGTACGTTTAAACATAAATGATCACTTGCCCAAGCTCAGAGAGGTCAGGCGTTAAAGTAGCTATGAGTGGAGCCCCCATCGCTGTGTCTACATGCAATGGTGAACCCATCTGAAACTTGCACACCAATGATAGCAGAAACAATTACTTACTCAGCCCTGCAAAATAGCCATAAAGCACGCCAAGCACAACGACGCTAGCCAGGCTACTCAACCCAATCATACCCAAAATGAGCACACCGCACGAAATCGACGACATTATGGTTAAGTTCATGAACACCCGTGAATGCCTCAATGAACCCCGACGTGAGTCGCCCTATAAAATTAGGACCCATTTAGAATCACTAGCTAAAGATTCTGTCAGCAGACGAATAACTTGTGTAGTGCTGGAACCCACAGAGTAAAACGAGAAGTTAATGCTGATACCGTGCTTGATAGTGTCGAGTTGAAAGAAGAATAATGGGTAAAAGAAAGCGACTTGGAAAAGAAAGCCCCTGCAGGATGGTTAGTTGGAGGAATTCAAGAGAAGGTGCGTAGTAGGTCTCACCCTGCTATCAGGAGAATAAATGGTATGTCGTGAATACATTTTCTACCTACTACAATACAGTTCACCGGTGTCGCCGGGGGATCAAGGCGAGTTCGCATGCACAGACATGCAGTTAAGAGAAATAAGCTGATCAACCCTGCGCTTGCACGGATGCCATTGGCGAAGCCAACAGGGCCGTTGAGGAGGTTATTGAGCATGATCGGATGGATGATGGCACCTAGGGATGAACCCGCAGCGACGAACGTCATAACCAGCGTGCGTCTTCGTCGGAAATGATGCGAGACTACAGCTATGCTAGGGATATGCATGAGCCCTGTTGCGATACCCAAGCCTAAGCCTTGAGAGATAAATATCTAAAACTGAGTCAGAGAACGATATTTTTAATAGGGAGGTTACCTGGTAGTACTGATCGGGTTTCGACAAAGACAACATGAATAGGCAGAAACTCTGCAAAAACGATCCGACAATCATGAGATGGTAACTAGTTAAAGCTTGCTGAGTATCATCGAGAACCTCCGACATATCTACACTCACAAATACCCTCGGTCGTGCAGTAAACCTGACACGAGGCCCAAAGCAGTTATTAAAAATGCGCTCATGCTCCCGATCCATCTACAAGCCTTGAAGATACCTGCTATGAAAACGCAAGTAGAAACTCACGATATAGCAGACGACGTCTCATTCGTCAGGTAATGTTGGGTATAAAAATCTAGAGGGTAATAGATTGAATATTCTGTAGTTGTTTTTGTCTACAGCAATACCTTCATAGACACCAAATGAAGCGGTATACCTTTTAATCTGAGTCAGTCACAAAGCCATTTCCTGTCAACACTCGCACCAGACTCACCCAAACCCACAAAACTGTATCAGAAACCTGTGTAGACCGAGTCAGGGCCAGACCAAAGAGTTCGAGTCTTCTTACGCTCCAAAAGCAGTGGCCCAAGCTGCCAGACCACCTTCGGGACACTCATCCGGGTTTGAGGGAGGGTCCCAATCCTTGGAGACTCGACATGCTTCGGATGTCTCTGAGCCCTCTTTGTCCTCCTGGAAGGCGGCCCCTTCTGTATGAACCGTTCGAAGCTCAGATTCGGCTGCCATCCTGCGCTGGGAGAACTGACAATGACAGCAAGTACAGTACTTATGTATTTATATGCACGCACCCGATTATGACCGTATGTCTGCCGAGTCGGGCGACCAATGCGGCAAACGTCAAATGTCGACTTTGGCGGGGTCTATATGATGAGAATTTGCAAACATACATTCTTTCGGGCCGAGCCAACGGTCGACCCTTGAAAAAAAGAAGGCCTGATAAGAACGGCTATTGCTGATCCAAGGTGGAGCGTAGTCCATGGTAAAAACAACCCTGATCCTGGGGTGGTGAGTGGGAGCTGACGTTTATGGACCTCCGGAAGGAACAAACGCTCGAATATGGAGGTGGTGCGAGGTGTTGGTGTTGTCAGTGTTGTTGTTCAAGTTGTTGGAGGTGCCGTGCTACGCGCGCAGCTTAGGTGTATGTATTGAGCATATGATTGCTTTAATCTTGTTATTGATTTTTTGGAGTATGGTTGGACTTTGTTACAGATTCAGATGAGACGTTCCATATAGACAGTACTTAGATACGGGCGGAAGTCCGAGGATCTTTGGATAGTGACTGTCATTCAAATACCCTCACACTTCAGCAATTATCGAAACCGAGTCGGAGGCCGGCCGCCGGTACTCCAATGCGGCTCTAATGGAAGTAGTACCCGTGTATACATCATGACGATGTGATGAACATGAGTAGAAGCGGAGATTTCAAAAATATCTTCGCAGTAACAGTTGCATCATTGGACCAGGAAAGGCGTGTGTTGAGCCAAGGCAGAGGAGGTAGTGTCATTAGCCGGGTCGTGGATGCGAACATCGGAAGTTTGTAACTGCTTTCGGGCTGGAGTTTAGGCGAAGGGAACGTACGTGTTGGTGCACCGTACATGGTGGTGTGAAGTTGAAAACTGCAACAGTCTAGAGTCCGGTGTTTTGCTTCTGTTTGTATTTTTGACTCAGCACAATTTCTGGTGGTACGTACCGTCACTACCGTACTGCTAAACTGCACATGCTGCAGCTTTCAGCCTTTCACTGTTCCAATCAGTATCCTTTTGGCTGACACTTCTCAACATACATGTATCCTATTATACTAGGTTATACGTGTGTTGATGAGGTGCAAAGCAATTTTCCCACTGCCACGTCTACGCATCACGGACATGCTTAAAGCGCTGACTTAAAAAGTACCAATGGTCGGCACTTTCGGAAATAGGCTGCAATGCATTATCGACCCTAGTGACTTCCAAATGATTCCAGTAGGATCCTCCCAAACGACCGTACCCCTACATATTGCAAACGACTTGGACAGCGTAACACTGCCTGGCAACACGTTGACTACCAGCCTCGGAAGTATAGCCTGGCGGCCACTACGCTCAGACACGCTCGCTTCAACAATCTTAGGGAATTTGACGAGATCGTAGGCCAGTGGTATATTGGTTTCGGCTAGGATGAACTCGGACTACATCTATTTTGCATGAATGCCATCCGTGTCTGGTGCTGTTGATTTATACTCCTGGACTCACCCTGTCGGCGATGGGGTCTTGGGGGACTCCACTTTCTGCCCTGCACGGGATCCGCTTGCTATAGTCACTTCCCACTCAGACATGTGAGTAAACGTTTACATCTTTTTGCCCAGTCCATTCGTAAGCTGAACTACAAGGGCAGTCATAGCCATGCATACGACATGTTTACAACGAACGACGCTCACCCCGACGCAGCGAAACCATTCCTAAAAATATTCGACATTGACCATACTGGTCGCGACAGATCCCGATTTCCTTAAAGTTTAACATTCTCGGAAACTGCATTAGTATGCTACGTTGGAACCTTGTAAACAACAAGGACATGGTGATATGGCCGGGGACTACTTCCAAATATGGGTCTGGAAATCCAAGGCGGACGACTAGGTAAAGTATCACTACAAGTTGACTTCGGTTAGAAACTAAATGATATCACCATTCACTCCTCGTCTTTGTCAACTTTCATGGGACCTTTTACCTTCATGTATCGGAGCCGACGCCCGTGCAGGCTGGGAAGGAAACAGACACTTGTATCTGTACCTGTAAAGGCAGGGTGTTCGTGTTGGAGGAGACCTACGTGCGTTGATTTTCGGACTATGCTTTTACAGATCCAGATCAGACGTGCTACATATGTACGACGTTGACGGTACTCAGTTCAATCTGTGATGTGACTCCGACCCACAAGATGTTGCTTCGTACATGTCATACCTATCCTTCGAATGCCACCATCTAGCCTACTGATACGTCCTTACAATATGTAGATGTAGCAACGAGCACCATATGATATCCTGCAGTTTTGCACATTTTTCTGATGGAGGTGCACCAAATAAATTCCAATTGAACTTGTTGTGACCGGTTGACTTCGTTCAAGTCAGACCCTCGTGCTCCTGACATTTTATCAACACAACACAGCGTGTCGCGGTGTCTATAGCCCCTATTTATTGTTGCTATGACTGCTTGTTTTATCGAGTCAAATTGACCCTCGTGAGTGAATGCTTATGCTCTTGACATTGTCAAAACGTCAGGTGCAATCACTCCTGTTGGTCGAGACTTGTAACATAACGCAGTTCGAGTCATGAATCCAGATCAGTGACTCGTAGGTCATATTTGTAAAGGCGCTGAGGTGAGACCGCTATCTCTCCCATAAGCTGCGGTTATAAAGGGCCTGGCTCGCAAGATACGAAGTTAAACGAATTGGAAAACAATATCGATAAGTCGGTAGGGGTGATTTCACTGATTTGAAGACAAATGCGGCGGATATCGGAATGATGGAATGGATATGCGTATCCTTCAAGTTGTTCCCTAAGATGTGAAGGAAACTGATTCATATCGATAGTGAGCTATAGCGAGTCGTGATAGGGCCTATGTCCAACAGAGTATAGGCCCACTAGTGCTGAAGATGAGCATTAACTAAGTTTATGGATACTAAACAATGTACATGCACTGATATTGTAATTTTAATGTGCCGTAGAATGTCATCCAAGACTGTCTGCAGCGATGATCGACAGGGAACGAGCGAGGAGATTAATCTCTCATGGTGCTGCTGCAACAGCCGCCGCCGACGGCTCAGATAGAGTAAGCTTCTCAAGAGCATCTTCGAACTTGTCGGCATCACTATCGTCATCTTCCTCCTCACTCTCTTCACTTTCCTCCGACGCAGACCCCTCGTGATCTGGAAGTTCGTATCTTCAAAATCAAGCTGCCACTCTTGTTTGTACATGTCGCTGAATTAGATTCACATGACGTACCGGATCGTCGACAACTCTAATGATCAGACTGCAGCTCGGACTCGTCGCGATATCCTCGCAATTGGCAAGCTGCTTGCGAGAGATCTCGAAGCGGTTGCCAAGTACAAGAAGAGGGATAAGTCCTCAATTCGGCAGCCATGAGCCAGATGAAGACTTACCTAAGATGCGCTGCCTTCTGAGAAACATGTATCGCATGAAGATAAACGTCATAGCACCAGTCAGTGTAACAATCTATCATGTAGTTGATTTGATTGGACTCGATGTGATGGAGAAAATAACAGTAACGGTCGACTCACCCCAGAGAACAGACTCGGCATCCACCAGGTATAATGCGACGTTAGCAGAGCGCCGGATATGGGTGTTCCTGGATCAAGCGTTAGAATTTGAAGCAAGAAACGACACCATGGCACTCACCGATCAAATTTCCGAATCCTATACAGTGATCGCGACAAGTTTGAATATCATGGAAGTAACAGTAATCATAATATTCACCAAAAATAAAGAGACAGATGCCCATCCGCGCACTATGATCCAAATAAAATGGTTAGTACGCTTAAACATAAATGATGACTTGCCCAAGCTCTGAGAGGTCGGGCGTTAAAGTAGCCATGAGTGGAGCTCCCATCGCAGTGTCTACATGCAACGGTGAACTCATCTGAAACTCCCACACCAATGATAGAGGAAAAAATTACATACTCAGCCCTGAACAATAACCATAAAGCACACCAAGCACAACGACGCTAGCCAGGCTACTCAACCCAATCATGCCCAAAATGAGCACACCGCACAGAATCGATGACAATATAGTTAAGTTCATGACACCCGTGAATGCCTCAATGAATCCAGACGCAAGTCGCCCTATAAAATTGGACCCATTTAGAATCACTAGCTAAAGATTCTGTCAGCAGACCAATGACTTGCGCAGTGCTGGAACCCACAGAGTAAAACGAGAAGTTGGCGCTGATGCCGTGCTTGATAGAGTCGAGTTGAAAGAAAAATAATGGGTAGAAGAAGCCGATCTGGAAAAGAAAGCCACTGCAGGATGGTTAGTTAGACGAATTCGAGAAAAGGTACGTAGTAGGTCTCACCCTGCTATCAGGAGAATAAATGGTACGTCGCGAATACATTTCCTAGCTACCACAATATAGTTCACTGGTGTCGCCGGGGGATCAAGGCGAGTTCGCATGCACAGACATGCAATTAAGAGAAATGAGCTGATCAACCCTGCGCTTGCACGGACGCCATTGGCGAAGCCGAGAGGACCGTTGAGGAGGTTATTGAGCATGATCGGATGGATGATAGCACCTAGCGATGAGCCCGTAGCGACGAACGTCATAACTAGTGTGCGCCTCCGTCGGAAATGATGCGAGATTACAGCTATGCTAGGGATATACATGAGCCCTGATGCGATACCCAAGCCTAAACCTTGAGAGAGAAATATCTAAAACTGAGTCAGAAAACGATGTTTTTAAATCAGGTGAGGTTACCTGGTAGTACTGATCGGGTTTCGATAAAGACAACATGAATAGACAGAAACCCTGCAAAAACGATCCGGCAATCATGAGATGGTGACTAATTAAGCTTGTTGAGTATCATCGAGAACCTCCGACATATCTACACTCACAAATATCCTCGGTCGTGCAGCAAACCTGACACGAGGCCCAAAGAAGTTATTAAAAACGCGCTCGTGCTCCCGATCCATCTGCAAGCCTTGAAATACCTGCTATGAAAACGCAAGTAGAAACTCACGATATAGCAGACGACGTCTCATTTGCCAGGTAATGTTGGGTATAAAAATCTAGAGGGTAATAGACTGAATATTACATGCGCATATGCTTGTGTTTGTAGCAATACCTTGATAGACACCAAATGAAGCGGTATATCTTTTAACCTGAGTCAGTCACAAAGCCATTTCCTGTCAACACTTGCACCAGACTCACCCAAACCCACAAAACTGTACAAGAAATCTGTGTAGACCGAGTCAGGGCCAGACCAAAGAGTTCGAGTCTTCTTACGCTCCAAAAGCAGTAGCCCAAGCTGCCAGACCACCTTCGGGAAACTCATCCGGGTTTGAGGGAGGGTCCCAATCCTTGGAGACTTGACATGCTTCCGATGTCTCTGAGCCCTTTTTGTCTTCCTGGAAGGCGGCCCCTTCTGCATGGACCGTTCGAAGCTCAGATTCGGCTACCATCCTGGGCTGGGAGAACTGACAATGACTGGCAGCAAGTACAGTACTTAGGTATTTATATGCACGCACCCATATGACCGCCGAGTCGGACGACTAATGGGGCAAGCGTCAACATGTCGACTTTGGCAAATTGGCAGGGTCTATATGGTGAGAATTTCCAAACAGACATTCTTTCAGGCCGAGCCAACGCCCAACGGTCGACCCTTGAAAAAAAGAAGGGCTGATAAGAAGGGCTGTTGCTGATCCAAGACGGACCGTAGTCCATGGTGAAAACAACCCTGATCCTGGGGTGATGAGTGGGAACTGACGTTTATGGACATTCAGAAGGAACAAACACATGAGTCTAGAGGTGGCGCAAGGTGTTGGTGTTGGTGTTGGCGTTGGCGTTGTTGTTGGAGATGCCGTGCTAAGTACGCGCGCAGCTTAAGTGGTTTGCATTGAGCCTATGATTGCTTTAATCTTGTTTGAAGTATAGTTGGACTTTGTTACAGATTCAGATCACACGATTCATATAGACTGCTGTAGTACTTAGATACATGACGGCACGTTTTATCGAGTCAACTGACTCTCGTGAGTGAACCCAGGTGAACGCTCGTGCTCTTAACATTGTCGAAGCGTCACGTACAATCACCCCTGTTGATCGCGACTTGTAACATAACGCAGTTCAAGTCACGAATCTAGATCAGTGACTCGTAGATCATATTTATAAAGGCGATGAGGTGGAATCGCCATCTCTCCCATAAGCTGCGGATTAAAGGACCTTGTATCTACCCAATCACAAGATACGACGTTAAACGGATTGAGAAAAATTATCGATAAGTCGGTAGGGGAGATTTCACTGATATGAAGACAGATGCGGCGGATATCAGAATGATGGAATGGATAAGTGCGCCCTTCAAGTTGTTCCCTAAGAAGATGAGAAGGAAACTGATTCACATCGACAGCGGGCCATGGCGAGTCGTGACAGGGACTATGTCCAATAGAGTATAGGTCCGCTAGTACTGAAGATGAGCATCAACTAAGTTTATGGATACTAAACAACGTACATGAATTAATATTGTAATTTTAATGTGCCATAGAATGTTGTCCAGGGCCGTCTGCAGCGATGATCGACAGGGAACGAGCGAGGAGATTAATATCTCATGCTGCTGCTGCAACAGCCGCCGCCGCCGGCTCAGATAGAGTAAGCTTCTCAAGAGCATCCTCGAACTTGTCGGCATCACTATCGTCATCTTCCTCCTCACTCTCTTCACTTTCCTCCGATGCAGACCCCTCGTCATCTGGAGGTTCGTCTTCAAAATCAAGCTGCCGCTCATGTTTGTACATCTCGCTGAATAAGATTCACATGACGTACTGGATCGTATACAACTCTAATGATCAGACTGCAGCTCGGGCACGTCGCGACATCCTCGCAGTTGGCAAGCTGCTTGCGAGAGATCTCGAAGCGGTCGCCGCAGGGACACGGATAGTGGTAGACACCTTTTACCTCATCCCATGCCATATCTTCAATTTCAATCTCATCGTAATAAGCCCCCATATCAATACTGTGAGAGAAGGGTCCGTTGCTGGATAGCCGCTGGTTGACTAGTCGACGGTCTAAGTTCAACGTTGTGCGTCTATGACTCTGCTCCTGATCCGTAGCTCCCACGCAACTTTTAAGGTTCAACAAGTGGTGGTCTTGGCAGCCGTTAAGTCCCGTTTAGCTCAGTTGGTAGAGCGCGTCACTAGTAATGACGAGGTCAGTCGTTCAAGTCGGCTAATGGGAAGTCTTTTTGTTGTGTTTCCACTGCCATTGCAAACGAACCTTGCACTTAAGTTTCATCGCGTCATCTCTAATTGTGCCACAAGACCCGGTAATGTAAATTCAAGACGTATCGGGCTATCCTTGGGCTATCTAGACTAGCTGGCCTCATAGTTGACCTAATATACATATAACATGACTTGTAGTATATACTATATAGTTAAGGGTATCGATATATCAGGTATACTTATAGCTCAGCACTTAGACCGGGGCGGCCACATTGCGCGGGCCGAGGAAGCATCAACCGTGCGTTTTTGAGTTTGACATAGTTGCACTTCCCTTTTTCTTGGCATTTGCATGACAAGTACTATCAGCACATCCCGGGCCTGGAGGTGGTGAGCATGAGCCTAGGACTTGGAGCAGGCAAGGGTGCGTTGCGGGGCTGCTGGGAGACTTGAGTTGGAGGTGTCGCAGAGAGATCTTTGACAGTCGGACCCGCAGTGGAAGCTCAGGTGAGTTTGCTGTGTTTGGATTTTCCACAGCTTTCCGCGTGACGCACTGCCTAGTAGCACCGTCAGTGGGATGCAGATACAAAAATATCATTTCGATCGCCCCTGCGGTACTACCGCTTGCTTCCACTTGTGACTTCAAGTCTCTGTACTTCATTTCATACGATAATACTTACTGCAGTTAATCAAGGGTCCATCCGCCTGTTTCGGCGATCCAAGCGCTGGGTCGCGGTATATGTAGCACCAACTCATCGTTGTGCTCTACCAAAATCACTACTCTCTGACACAAATCCCTTGAATATGACCCTCATCTCAAGTGATCTCAGTGGTTGGCCGGACAACGATACGTATCAGGTTGCAAACTATGTTTTAGGTTCGTCGGAAGAGCAGGCCCGATGCCGTTTGACTGTATCTCTGATTGTGGTTTTACAGTGGCATCCTCAACTGCAATGGTCTATGATTGGGGTGAGCATCACAGTATTTATCGAGGCGATTGTTGACATCCCAGTATCATTTAGCACTGACATTCGGACAAGAGGTAAGTTGATGCCGTTGATGCCGTTACCAAAGCAGCCAAGATCTCAGTACTAAGAATGGACTCATAGGTTGAACTGATCTGGGTGAGTAGAATTCTCATAACTAACAGCAGGACGAGACAGCTAATTCGGGGCAGATGCAACGCTGGTCTTCCATAACTGTTCTATATATCATTGTATGTAGCCAATATTATGCGCTGCGGCGCACTTGGCAAGTTGTACATGCTGACTTGAGAATATTCCAGGTGCGCTACGTTGGAACACTATACTCTATGTATGTTCGCAAGGCCAACAAACTGGCATTGTACTAATAAGTCATCTCTCACTATCAGCTACAACCTACGGTGTATGTTTCCTCACTCTTCTGTCATTTTTTCTGACTTGGAGCAAGCAGCGAGTATCCCGGGAGTTTCGATGACAGTTGCGGTAATTATTGTGTACCAGCGCCTGCCTGTCATGCCCGTCTAACTGACTACACCTCTACTTAGGAGTGAGTGAGATTCCTGGATTGTTGGGGGATTCGATATGACATCTGAAATAGCTGTAAGTTTGGCCAAAGTGTTTAATCACCCGAGACTCTTCAGTAACTATATTTTTCAGGTAACGTAGTTTTCCTGATACAGGCGGGGATATATTTTGTCATATATACCGTGATCGGCAGTGAGTTACTTGGCTGTGAACCCCGATGATGTTCGACTGACATATCTTGCAAGTTATCATGGCTGCTCGATTATATGCCATGTATCAGTGCTCCAGAAAAATCCTCGTTCTTCTCATTACAATCTTTCCAACTTTCACAATCGCCTGTGGACTACTGGCCGTATTAGCGATCCGCAATTTTTCTTGGGGTACGCTTCAATTACCATAAAATACCTTGAGCCATCAAGCTGATACGACGAATTCCAGATGACCTCATCCTCTCCAGTACCCATCAGTGTGTTTACGAGGTTCGGAGAAAAACCCAACTTGAACTTCTATTGGCCGGGGTTTGGATACTCCGCATTGTGTGGGAGGTCATCGCACTCTGTCTTGCAGTTTGGATTACTGTAAAACATCTCCGTGAAATGCCGTGGTCATCTACAGAGTGGTCTACTGGGGACTGTTTCAGGGTGTTGATGAAAAGTCATGTGCTTTACTTTGCAGCGTGAGCTTCCGATCTTAACGCGACTGACCTTCTTTCGCTGAAATTCCACATGTGCTAGCTTTGCTGCTGTTTCTTGTTTCAGCCTTGGCTGCCTGTCTCCCAACATAGTAGTAAGTATGCCGATCTGTGATTGTCATCTTGCATCTGATCACTCCTATTTTGTCTATAGGACTCATCTTCCGTGGGAGCTCAAATTTATTATGGCATACTTCAAATCGCCGTGTTTGTGCAATTGTTCGTGCTGGGACCACGTCTCATCCTAAGCGTTCGAAGATATAACGCTAAGCACACGGCTGAACCCGAGCCAGGATCTTGTATGACTTCGATGGCTTTCCAGGACTCGGAGCTCGTAAGGGTGTTGACTGGTACTAGTAGTGTATAGCACGAAAACGGTCCGAATGTTCGGGTACCCTGCAGGGAACACGCGAACTGTGTTTCCTCGTAGACTTGTATACGGTACTAATTTGGTGCCCGAAGTTGAGAGCGATAGGTGTAGGCAGCCAGTACATATTGTGCTGGAATTAGCTACCCACCAGTACTTGCACGAAGCAGAAATCATGCTTTCGCGCGAATTAGGACCTCGAGTCTTAACATGTTATTTTGTAATGCGACCAAGTCCCTAGGTGCTCTATAGTATACTGCATGTGGATTGCGGATTTCTTTGCTACTACTACCCGCCTGACAACCTCGCATCTACCAGCTATTTAATGTCGTGAACATAATTCGCTGCACAAGGAAAATCAGAAGCGGAGGCTCCTTCAAGATGATAATTTGATGCAAATTTATAATGTTGCGCTTACGCATACAAAACTAGTTGAACGATTTCGTTCAACCATAGAGTACTATACTAGTCTCTAATGAACGTAAATGGATACAAAAAACAGGTCAACTGATATGCAATGTTTCTACAATAGATTCAGGTAACTCTCTCAAACGAAATCTACCAATGTGACCCGCCAAACAGTCCTTCGACACCTCGGATACTGCGTAAAGCGGCTTTGTACGCTTCTAATACAAAGTCTCCCCGAAAGCTCATCCCAATCCTGCAGTATTCGAGTTGTCACAGATGGAGCCGGGGTCTGAGTTTCCTGGAGGTCCATAAGTGTACGACCTTCACGGTGGTCGTTTTCTGGTCCTGTGGTCGTCTCGATAGCCATTTGCCAAGGACATGTCGTCCCTTTCTGGTTGGGCAGGGAAGAAAAGCCAGAATATGCGCTGCGCTGCGAACAAGCACGGCCGCTGTGAGCTTTGTGGATGTGGCGGCTCAAACTGTAATGGAAGGTGAGGCACTCCCTGGATCCGAGGATGCGGAGCAAAGCTTACATTGTACTTCTCAATGACGCAGGCATTTGGTTCCGATGCATCGAGGTCAGGTCGTATGAATCGAATCTGGCCTTCATACAAAGATACTATAGCGCCTTCATGAAACATTTTGACCAAACATCCGAAGGTCACGCCAGCAGGGCGAAGCTGCCAGAATGGCGTAAGCAACGGTGGTGAGTTTGCATCGAAGTCGTTGGGTACAGTAGAGGGAATATTATACGCAGCCATCAATCGCGTGCTGACGAGCAAGATGCACGGAACCCGACCGGACAGGCGCAGGTCGTACCGTATCTGTACAGATTCATCGGTATTCTCCAATTAGATTGTTTGCATCAACGCACTTACGCGGAGTTTGCCGTCGTGTCCCTTTGGACAGTCAATTTCAACAGTCATATCCTTTCGAAAACTGTCGTAATTCTCGTTTAGCTGCATGATACGAAGGAAATGCCTCCTGTCCGAAGTAATCCACCCATACACGACATAGTCTCCTGCTGCCGCATAGTTCCGCACAAACACGTTTGTGCGAAAAATGAGAGGTATCGTGACTGAGGGTACCTTTGTATTTAGATGCATGATTCCAAAGGTGTTGGATCTAGTTGGAGTTCGTGAGTATGGGGAATTAGGCCCTTGAGGATACATCGTACCCGTCACTGCACTTAGTTCGTAGTAGCATGAGGTCATCGCCACGAGCCGATTTATACGGACCGTCTTGGTCGACGAAGGGGAGCCAGCAAATCTCGCTCTGAAAGGTCGTAGATGCAGCGGGAAATCCAGCACCCGTGCTTGGTTTTATTAAGCACAAGTTAGAGTGTCGAGTAGGGTTGAGATTTCGACAGTGGAAGAGCAACACTAGCCATGTCCCACCCGGAAGAAATTTGAGACCTTGAAATACACCAGGGAAATCTAGTGGGAACGAGTAAAGACGCTTAGGGGCAATGCTAGGCTGTGTCCATATGTGGTCTAGTCGGGCAGCGGTTTTCAGCTGGTGACGAATGTCTTCCGCAGTGCATGAACGTAGATGTGGGTAGCATTGATCAAGAAACGATGCCGAAAGAGGACGTCGCGCCAGACATGTCGTAATGAGGCAAATTCGTGCAATGTTCGACATGTCTGTGAATAAGCATAAAATGGTTCACAGAGAGTGGCAGTCTATCGCAGACTCACACTTCCAAGCCTCATGATGTCCAGGACGGAAAAGATACCTCATAATCACGAGCCATACGTCGACCACGAACTTGGAGGGGCTGTAGACACCATGTTGGCTTAGACTGGCTGGTACTACAAACATGGGTTGGTGAGTAAAGAACTCGAATTTGTGTCCCACTGGCCATTTTTAGGCTTATGCGTGGCTTGAGCAGTGGGTAGTCATACAGTGATCACGACATATGGCGTCACAGCTCTCGGGTGCCGCCTAATTAGATAGTGTTGTGGGCAGAACTATTTTGAGGTAGCCGGCGAGCAAATGGCAGAATCACGTGGTTTTTCATGGCAGAGGTACTAACTAACCCAATCTTAGCTTGATCCGTGACCATAAACTCATCCTCTAGTATCGCTGCAGGCAATAATCCCTCGTCAACGCACTGCAGTTTCTATACCAGAAGACTCTTGTTGTGGAGCCAGTGACAAGGAGACGGGTGCCATGGATGAAAGCTATCTCGTTCAACGATTTCTCATGACCCTTGAGCGTCAGTTCGAGATGAGCCATTTCTTTTTGAGTTAGCACTTGGGACGCTACTTACCACTATAAGTTGATTCCGTCTAAAAGATGTTACGCCCAAGTAAGGTCACCATGCGGATGCGCAACTTTACATGTGGGCTGGCCCACATACGCGCGAGGTTATACCTGCAAAGTATCATCGATACGGGCTGTACGACCTATCATCGAGCGATGACAGGACACTACTGTTGCACGCACTCTTATCGAAGACCACGCTAACATCAGATTCTTCCCGTGTTCGCGTACTTTGTGCGACTGCGCAAGCTGGTACATGTGGGACAGATTCGCGGTTCACCACACTACGGTTAGCTACTGTCGTTCTCGCGAGTCACCTGCACAACCAGCCACATCGTCAGGCAGACCTTGCCTGCTTGGCATGTTTAGCTTGAACTCGTCGATTAGCGTAATTGGTCTTAGCCGACAATGGTTTTTCTCCACCTTCAATGGGCATGAACTCAAGAGGTCTTCGAACACATCAACCATAGGACTCATGGCCAAGTCGTTAACAGATTCAAAATCTGTTCGTCTCGGATGGTGCAGGTTCGAAACCTGGTGACAATAATTTTTCTCTATGATCGCACCCTGGCCATGAGCTCGTGGAGCGGTCTTTGAACGTCAACCATAAGATTTATTGCCAAGTTGTTAACAGATTCAAAATCTGTTCCTCCTGGATGGTGTAGGTTCGAAACCTGCTGACAATAGTTTTTCTCTATGATCGCATCTTGGACATGAGCTCACAGCCATAAGACTTATGGCCAGGTTGTTAACAGATTTGAAATCTGGTCTTCCTGGATCACGGTGCAGGTTCGAGACCTGCCGACAATATTTTTTCTCTATGATCTGAATGCTGTGTATCATAGTACATCGTACAATGGCAGTTGTTTATTGTCAGCATCATCAATTTGGCACATTCACTTGCTCCTTCGTCACCTAGCTTGTCAATGCTTCCTAGAGCCATATTTGAAAGTTCACGGCGTCCTCGAATTCCAACTCGACGTTTGGCACTCCTGTTTCAGCATCTGTGTCCGTCTCCTCTGAGCAGGGACCCCCGCAAGTTCATATGGCATGTACATGGATGTGGAAGGTAATCTGTTTCAAGACATATTGAGACTTCCGCTCATCACGTCCCACTGCCCAGATATCCCATTCCGCTTTGTACTACTTCCCACTTCTTGGTACGATTGCCCTCATCGCCTCATACCTAGATCATATTCTATGACAGTAAACTGCATATAACGCATGTATATACTTGTGGTCGCATTTTATCAGCGTGTACACGAATTGGAGGAAACGTTGTGGATGTTCAATTTCAAGGAAGAACATTGCTGAGCGTGAGAGGCCAATATGTGGTGAGATCTGTCTTCTTGTTCCTTCAGATTGAAGTTTCGGGCTTCGGTTTCCTGGATTCTGAAGCGGACAGGCTGGGCCAAAGAACTATATTTGCCGCATTAAGTATGATACTGGTACCATTCATTCGGCTCACTCGTAGTTAATTTGGTACTATGATCATTGATGAACCGGAGGGTGCTCGTGGCACCTCGTTTTTGACGGGTTTTGTCAATTTAACCTCCATCATCCTCATCTATGTCCGTTGTATTTGAAATACAAGATACATACACCGAAATAGAGAAAGGTCATACTATCAGAAGATGGGAGCGAGCGAGCGGAGGAACTTGATGGACGGATAACAATGGCATTCATGCTTGATAGGTAGTACCGTAATCCAGTGTTTACATCGCCAAAGTGAGATTTGAGGAATGATATCTGATTGATCGAAGTGTTTCAGCCCGAATTCCAATGCAAAGACACTGTGCATCCAGGGATACCAATGGGATCAAGGTAAAAGTTGTTGGTGAGCTCGCAACACAGTGACTCGCGAAGAATGTTTGAACGCCGCATATGATTTGAGCGCGGTTGTCCGTGCGATTTTCGAAGTATTCTTGCTACAATGTCCAGTGTGCGATGCAACGCTCAGCCTCGACGCATTAATAAAACCATGTTGTTAGTTGACCCAACACAGGTTTGAACGGCGCGCACGTCGAGCTCGTGACAGACACTGACTATAATTATTAACACAAAGGAGCTGAAGTGGAGTACATGCCTGAGCCAAAGTGGAGCAGAAGAGGGGTTCGGGTGGAGCACATGGCGTCGACGCGAATTGGTTCCGCGGGATTAAACGATCCGAGTCCATTCTTACAATATGTAGATAGATATCTGTTGGGTAACTTGCAAATAATCGTCGCCTCGATTTGATTCGCCTCTGCGGCATCACTACTAGTATGATACTAGTATTAGTATAGCCCAGAGAAAGATCAGATATAGCTGCTGCTCCTTGTTATCACCTTTCATCAGGCCAGGGTCACATGCAACTCGAATCTCGGACAGCAGCGGTCTCCAAGTAAGGTAATGCATTGAGAGTGTGACACAAATTTGCATGTATACCTAGGTATGCTTGTAATGCTAGAATAAACATCGTGCGGACTTTCAAATATGTCGCGGCAAATCGGCAAAATCGAACCGTAACCTATCGTCCACCATAAGTATCATTGTTGGGCCGAACCCAGCACATATGGCAAGAACATCCCAAAGATCGCACTACTGTGACATATAGCAATCGCGAACAGTTTCCGATGATCCGATCTTTGCGGCGTTTACACTGCTAAGTTTTCAATTTCATCGCATTTACACTAATCAACGTGTACATGAGTTAGAAGAAAGGCTCTGGATTTTTGCTCGTAAGTACTACGAGCGGGTTTGCAATAAGTTAAAAAAACTTTGCTGACCTTGAGAGGAATGTCTATTACCAGGGCAACTTGGACGCTGTTCAAACCTGTAAAATACGGCAGGTCATTGACGGAGTAAGGTAGAATCCCTTGCTGTAGCAAAAATACCTCGAAGATCGCACTGATACGCGTTGCCACAATCACGAACAGCTCTCCGATCAATCTTTTGTGGCGTTCGAGCATTCCACACACTTCGATCGACCAGGTACCATCTTTCAAATCTCACTCTGACCCTGAGCACTGGATTGTGGTATATCAAGCACGAATGCGATATTATACGTCCACCAGGTTCCCCTGCTCGCTCACTCCCATCCTCTAATAGTATGACTCTAGTCTCGAATGATCCCAGTTGGTGGCCACTCATCAATGGGAGTTTTATTTTCGGCTATTTCGTAGGTCCGTGGAGAGCCAACCGCATGATGACCGTGATGACTGGATTAACCTTGCCTGTGATTTCACAGTTGCTGGCTGTATTATGCTAATTTACGATTGGGGTGAGCAAAATTGCGTATGAAGGAACCGTCGATATCCTGATACATAGTATCTCCAGCACTGACGTTCGGACAAGAAGTAGGTGGACTTATTACTGGGACAGCTAACTCGCTTATATTCATTGTGTTATAGGTTGAACTAATCTGGGTAAGCAGACTCCCACATCAGAAGAATGACATGAAAATACAACTTGGTCACGGCAGAGGCAACGCTGGTCCCTGATGACCTTTCTCTATCTCAGTGTATGCACCTTGTGTCACAATATTTACGCTCAGAAAGTTCAATTTTTGCTGACTATCCTAGGTGCGCTATGCTGGAATAGTGACTGCTGTGTACGTTTGGAAGTTTAAGCCATTAATGTTGCGCTCATCACATATCCCTTATAATCAGGATCAACATGTTTAGTATGTCTCCTCCCATAGACTGTTTCTTTCTTGTGACGAGTACCATACAGTCGGTGTTCCAACAATTTGGACGACAGATGCAGTGAGTATTCCACACCGATGCCTCCAATTCCCGTCCAAACACTGAACTACTATGTAGGGGTGAGTGAGATCCTCAATCAACTCGTTGGTTCAATATAATGACTCCCACAGTTGTGAGTGTGTTTCAAGCGCGTGACCCTCCGAGGCGGATAACTCTGTATTTGTCACTGTCAGGCCTCATCATGTACAACACACGTGATTGCATGACTGACGTTGTAGATGTGATACTTGGCGGTGAGCTATACACCTCCGTGATATTGACTTGACTCAAACATCATGCAAGTCATCATGATCACTCGGTTACACGCTATGTATCAGCGATCAAGAAAGGTGCTGATATTCCTCGTTGTCATCTTTCTTGCCATCAGAATCCCCAACGCAGTGATGCTCGCGATAGAGATAATGCAGATTTCAGGGGGTGAGCATTAATTATGTGTGAAATGTTTAAGTGCATCATGCTTATCGACGAGTACCAGAGGAATTTATTTTATCTGGCACCTATCAGTGCATGATTTTCTATGCTGGAGATGCCTTATCTCTGTATTCCATAACTTGGACACTTGGCGCTGTATGGGAAGTCCTTGTGTTGTGTCTCGCGGTTTGGATTGCTGTAAAGCACTTCCGTGAACTGCGACGACACTCAACAAGTAGTGTTTTGGGGGACTGTTTCACGGTGTTGATGCGAACTCACGTTAACTACTTTGCAAGGTGAGCTCATAATGCGAATGTGGTTCTCTTTTTCCGCTGAAGTTTTGCATGTGCCAGTGTTTTGATTGTCTCTTGCTTCCAGATCGGTTTATTCTCTCCGACGCTCTCAGCGGTATGCCGATCTATCACTGACCTCTACATGCGACCATGGTTCATCATTTATATAGGACCCAAATTCCCTGGACGTTCAGATTTATTTTGGTCTCGCTCAGGTCTTCCAGGTCGCGCAGATGTTTATGCTGGGGCCACGCCTCATCCTTAGCATTCGAGAATATCATGCCAAGCTGGTGGCCGACTCTGATACAGCAACCGTTATGACTTCAATTGCTTTCCAGGAACGTGTCCAAGTGTCGACCAGCAGTAGTGTGTAGTTCGGGATACGTTTGATATGATTTACAATTGTCAAGTAGTCTACAGAGTGCAGGAAAATTGATTTGTATTTATTCCAGGTTTTGTCACAGCACTTATTTCTATATATTGTAAGAATATAGGAAGATGGTCATAGCACCGGCCGCACGTTTGATCTACACAGCAATAAGCTGTGAGGCGAACACGAAGATGACGAGTGGGACGCGGAACCAATTCGCGTCGCCACCCACCTTTCCTTTCCGTGTGCAAGAAAGATGGTACGATCGACAAGAAAACGATAGTTCAGTTCTCTCAAATTCCAATTGAGAACTTCTCAAGTGCCATAACTAGTAGCGGGAATAGTTAAGTATGATGGAGTCGCTCGCTGCCTAGTAGCAGGTTCGGCTGGGAAGAGAATATTAATGGAAGTCGACAGACTACGGACTCGCAAGTTCTCGCAGGCCTCATCGAAGCAATTGTCGGATGCGAAATGGGAGTTCTAGAGCAAGTGAATGTTGAATGGAAGCAAGAGGGACAGGTTCACCATATGTAAGCATGCGGGGAGTTTTCATACAGTAGTGTAATGTACTTACTCAACAATGGCAAAAAGCGCCTGGATGGCGACGACTGCCTTTGTGCAGAGAATCGCGTCGTGAAACACATATGTATTAGCTTTCCAGTGGCATTGGAAGATACACCATGAGCATGGAAGGAACTTCCTGGCGATCTGCACAGACAGCACAGTATCAGTGCGCCCGAGAGTTCGATAATTCTGTCAAGATGTGTAGGAATTGCCAGAGTTCAGAGTGTCTAGCTCAGATGATGTCAATGAGGTGCTTGCAAAGTTGAACACAACGCAGGAGGGGGCATCGACTGGCATCAACCGTGACGCGTGAACTCCATACCACGAAGTTTGGACTTTTCCTGGGAGCGTGACTGCATTGTTTGGACCAGGAGATATGGGAAGGAGGACACTGTGCATACGTGGCTTGATAATGCGCGGCCTAGGAATAAAGGAAGAGGCGGGGCAGAGGTTGGTATCGAATTCGGGAGATGTATTGAAGATGCTGTTGAAGAGACTGGTTATGATCTGGCTCAGATTGTCGTGGGGCAAATCACTTTATACTCATGGAATAACTAGGCGAAATACGGTGTGCAGGAGTATGGTCAGTTGGTCAAATGCAAGATGAGATACCTGTTCGCGCTGACGAGCTTTGGATGTTGTTTCCAAGACGCGGGCCGCGGCCGAGCCGGTGCTGAAGTATTCGATGAACCCCGAGAGACCCCGAGCTTGCCGATTCACCTGTGTGGCATAATTAATGTTCAACGTTTAACCATGCTCGTAGCTAGCATCGATCATCGTCACAGCTTGTCTGCCTTGCTCTGGGCTTAGGCCGCTGGCCCTGCTCCACCGATTTCTCATGGCCTTTGAGTGTCAGTTCGAGATGAGGCACGAAGTTCCTTTGAGTTGCCACTTGGGACGTTACTTTGTGAGTGGCGACCGCCAACTCGATCACCTGATCGCTATAAGTTGATTCTGTCTACAGGTTGTTACGCGCAAGTAAGGCCACCATAGGGACGCGCAGCTCTACATATGGGCTGGCTCATATACGCGGGAGATTATGCATACAAATTGACATCGATACGGGCTGTACCATCTATCATCGAGCGATGACAGGACACTACTGTTACATGCACTTTTATCGAAGACCACCGCTAACGTCAGATTGTTCGCGTTAGGGTCCCGGGAATTAGGGTATGGCGTCTGGTTGACAGGCTAATTAGCATGGCCCTCGCAGAGGGCCAAATTTACAGGTGTGAATGACACGAAATTCACACAAATTTACTGACGGGGGTTCGGGAGCAGAGCCCCCGAAAGCTCCAGCTTTTGACGCTGATTAGCGTTAATTTGCAGGTGAATTTCACCTAATTGACTGTAATTTACTCTACAGACTCCCATGTCTCCCACTCGTCATCCATTGGTGTCGTCGATGAAGCTTATTGATGATGTCTGGCGGAACTCCAGTGCACGTAACGAATAGCATCAGTGCGTGATCCCCATTCATCTTCAACTGCTTTGTTCCTTCCGTAACATATGCCTTATTGAATGGCATGACTGATTTTGAACTTGATGCAGCCTGCAACTCCATTCTCGCTTTCTTCATTGGCCGTTCTGTTACCCTCCGACGCAAGAACATGTTCGTTAGAATCCGAGTCCAATGCTTCTTCTGCGACCTTTGCTTTCCCTCCTGTTGCCTGGGACGCCATATACTCTCTTGCTTCTTTCCGCCACTCTTTCGCCATGCTTGTGTCGCAGTTCAGACAGTCGATCCTTGAGATTTGGCTCCATGTAAGCTGTAACGCTGTTGGAATTATTACGGACTGATTTCAAGTTCTTAATTTTCATAATATTTCGGTCGTCATCGGCATAATGGTGTTCGACCAAATATAAATTTTATTTCAACTATGTAGATACTAGAGCCACAATAAGCTATGCAAATCTTTCAAGCGTCTGAGCTGTCAGGATTGTCCAGTATATCATATATAAGCTTTTCAGGTGTTCTGGGTCCAGTAGAAACAAATTCACCCAAATTGACACTGTTTTCGAGGGTGTGAAATTGACACTGTCATTCACGGTAAATTTGCAGGGTAAATTAGCTGGGCAAATTTGCCTGGTGCAAATTCCCGGGACCCTAGTTCGCGTGCTTTGTACGGCTGCGCAAGCTGGTACATGTAGTAGGACTGATTCGTGATTCACGACACTACGGTGAGCTACTGTCATTTTCGCGAGTCACCAGCACAACCAGCCACATCGTCAGGCAGACTTTAGCTGCTTGGCATGCTTAGCTTGAACTCGTCGATTTAGCGTAACTGGTCTTAGCCGACAATGGTTTTTTCTCCACCTTCAATGGGCATGAATTCAAGAGGTCTTCGAACACATCAACCATAGGGCTCATGGCCAAGGCGTTAACAGATTCAAAATCTGTTCGTCTCGGATGGTGCAGGTTCGAAACCTGGTGACAGTAATTTTTCTCTATGATCGCACCCTGGACATGAGCTCATGGAACGGTCTTTGAACGTCAACCATAAGATTTATTGCCAAGTTGTTAACAGATTCGAAATCTGGTCTTCCTGGATGGTGCAGGTTCGAAACCTGCCGACAATGTTTTTCTCTATGATCTGAATGCTGCGTACCATACTGCAATGGCAGTCATTTATTAGTAGCAACATTGAATTGTATGCGTCTTCAGATACTCAGTATATGTAGACTAGTGATATTTTCTCTACTCTAATGCAAAGGTTCGGAAAGGACAGAAAGCCTAGCGAGAGTCCAATGCGGGAAAGACGTGGGAACCCCCTTATGAGAACTGCAAAACAGCCGATGAGTCTGGAACATATTCAACGTCCAATGGAAGGGGGTCTGTTACTAGTAGCTGCACAGTACTGGTGCTTCCGATCTGCAACGTTGCTGGGGTGGCTCCGTCAATCACATTTGATGTCCCTGTTGGTGGAGTGCTGCTGATTGAGGCACCAGCGTGGGCTTGCTGGCGAGGAGGATGTCGTGGCTGCACCAACAAATGCCCTTTTCCACTGGTATTAGCGGTGCGCTACGAGACAATATCAGCATCACGATATGAATATCGAAAGGTTAGGAGAACTTACATATTTACCCTGTGTCGCAAAAACGTCCACAAGGGGAATCCTGCGTGGGCGAGTATAGCGCTGGGGAGCAGAGGAACGAGAAAATAGACGATTTACCATGTTCTTCATTCCGGACCATCCTTCAGCGTGACAAACTATTATGGTAGTAGCAGCGCATTTGTTGGGTCCAGGTGAACAGTGGATCAAACTGTCAAAGGATGGTGAGACGTGTACCGACACAGTACTGTCACCACCATATAATGCAACACTCGCGGAAGAACTCCTGATTGTTGCCTTCGGCGTTTGGCATACTGGCAACGTCGTACACACAGCAGAGTAGTTGAAACTGTAGCTCGAATCCTAGTATATCAATGTAGATAACTGACAATAGCGAGGTTTGAAGAAGCACACAGGTGAGCTTCCCTCATTTGTAGTACTGTGTTTGCTTATGTGGGCTCGCCTTTCCCATAATTCATTTGCAGTACTGACACCGCACGCTGGACACGTGCACTTAGTATGACAAGCTAGCTTGCCGCGCAACTTCACTAATTCACTATTGCTCATAGGAGGCCGACACAGCTTGTTTTATTGCAAATTGCCTAGTACGCAATCGGCGATACAAGTCTCAGGCTTCAGGAGTTAGAAGATATTTCTATCACCCTAGTTGACACTGGCAGCCTGAGTGTGTGCAGCCGTCGTTCGTATTCTGACCACGCAGCAACTATAATGTGCAGTGTTGTGTTGCAGGTTGTGACTGGCTGCTGATAGGCACCGATGCGGACTACTGAGGGGACTCTGACCAGACATCACTAATTCACTTCCACCTGAAGATTTTTCGACCTCCAGCTAGGGATACAAGAATTCGACTAAAAACGGCCTCGAAGGTCATCTGAGCATCATACCTATTCCTTTCAAGAACGGACGTACATCATAGACACAGTTCGTGGCATTAGGTAAGTTATCTATCATTTGTATGCATCATCACTGTCCATGTGACAAAGCGGATACTCAATCGTCTCCTAGCCCGCTGTCAACCAACCACATAAACCGATCAATCAACAGTCATATATATATATCCCTGACAAGACAGCTGTTATCATGTCACCAGGTATCTACCATTACGGGGATGGACCCTGAGAGACCCTCCGGGTTTTTCTATACGCACATTTAATCGCCGTCAAGGTTTTGCTGATGCCTGTTGGTGATTAATGCACCTTCTCCAGCCTAGCCCCTTTAGCACGAGATGCTCTTGCAGGGTCAAGCTTATATCTGCCTTATAATCAGTAAGCCCAACATTTGCTGGTGCATAACGTTTTACTCCCATTTACTTCTATGTCAATAAAGTCCGCAGTCCATAATACGTTCACGATGGACAAGAAAGAAGATGATCTGGAAGAGCTAGGACATATACCGTCATCTGATTCCCAAACAGCTCGTTCAGAATCAGGCCCTCCGGATGGCGGGTTTCGGGCCTGGGGGACTGTTTTTGGGTGGTAAGCCGTAGTTCCAACCCACATGCTGTGTGTCTAACAATCACAACGATGCCTAGTTTCCTCATGCAATTTTGTACTTTTGGGTTGGTTCTAGCTCCATTCGTTCGAGACATCAGCCAATAGCACTTGAACAGATACGTATCGTCTTTTGGAGTTTATCAAGGTACGCAGCAGTCGCATGAGCATTTATATCCAAAGTTGATAAACGACCTCGGAAGATTATTACACACGAATGTATCTGACCAATCATCCACCATCTGCAATATCGTAAGTGAATATGCTTTTAGTCTGCAGTTCCTGGTCTCAGTCAGTGTCAGATGGATTGGGGCATTGACCTCGTTCCTCATAATCAATGTCACGTTGATCTCAGGTCCGCTGTACGACCGAGGGTGGTTGTAAGTTGCCATATATTTATATAGTCAGTCGTTAATTTCTACACAAATTACTGATAGCTATCGATTGATGATTGTGGGGTCGCTGCTCCAATCAGTGTCCTTGTTCGCTCTGTCCTTCGCAAAGCCTGGTCAGTTTTACTTGGTGAGCAGCCCGATTAATATTGTCGTCGATGGGCTACCTATATGTGGCGATTAGATTTTCATGGTTCAAGGTGTCCTTTCTGGGATTGGGATGGGCCTAACGTACAGTCCCAGTCTCGCGGTTGTCTCTCAGCACTTCTCCAAAAGACGCACGCTGGTGGTGTCTCTCGTCGCGTCCGGTTCACCACTGGGTGCCATGATTCATCCGATCATGCTGAATGACCTTTTGAATGGTACTGTTGGCTTTGCAAGAGGTGTTCGCGCCAGTGCGGGTTTTGTCAGTGCTTTGTTATTGATCGCCTGTTTATGTATGCGTACAAGAGAACTGTCAGTACCAACTGTCAGTTATACGGTAGTGGCGCGAAAATGCTCTCGCGAGGTTCTCTTCATCCTCATGACCGTTGGGTATGTTGTATCTGGCATACTCCAAAAGGATTCACAGTCTTGACAGTTGATCATGCCTAGGTCAACACTATTTCAGATCGGGTTTTACTTCCCCCTGTTTTACTTGCAACTAGACTCTACCAAACATGGCATTGACACCAAATTCTCGTTCTACTCCGTACGCCCAGGATTATTCTCTTTGTTGTCAATTCTTAACCCGCCTTAGCTTGTGATAATGAATGCAGCCTGTTTTGTCGGACGCTGCATGACAGGAATAATTGCGGCGTATACGGGGGTGTTGAACCTCACGATCGCATCCACCGTCGCATGCAGTGCTGTCATAATATCCATGATAGCTTTGAGTGACATGGCCAGCGTGGTTATGTTAGGACTTGCATATGGGTACTTTTCTGGTGTTTGTATGTGTTACTGCAGCTTATGTGATTCCTGGTGCTGACTTTCCAAGACATCGCGCTGATAGTCCCATTGGTGACTGAGCTCACGCCCAATTTGTCCGAGCTAGGGTTGGTTTCTCTTACATTTGCATTCTGGTGATGTTGACCCTCATATTGAGAGCGCGAATGGGCATATGTTTTGCCTTCACTGGTATGTATCATCTAGCTCTGTCTCGGAACTCCTGACAATGCGCGAATGATCAGCTTTTGCTGGATTACTCGGTGAGTAGTTACTTTCCGGTCTTCATCCGCCATTGAACCAATATTTTCAGGTGGCCCAATATCAGGCGCTTTGCTTGGTTCTCAATATAGGTGGTGGATAGCGTCGCTTTTCAGTGGGGTGAGTAGTTGTCATTGTTCCTGCATTTGTCCAAACACTGCTAAGATTTGCATCTAGCTCATTTCCCTCGTCGGAAGTATCATGTTCGTGGTAATGCGCTTGGTGATATACCGCCGGAATAAACGATAGCTGGCGGGGACATGTGAACCAGTTGTGCCGTTGGATTCTGTCTAGGCCGATAGGCACCGCGACACACTATGTTGATACTTAAAATGTCAGGAGCACGAGGGCCTGGCTTGAACGAGGTCAACCGGTCACAGCAAGTTCAATTGGAATTTACTTGGTGCGCCTCCATCAGAAAAATGTGCAAAACTCCAGGATATCTCGTTTCATATATGGTGCTCGTTGCTACCAATCAGTAGGCTAGGTGGGTGGTATAACATATACGAAGCAACATCTTGTGGGCCGGAGTCACATCACAGATTGAATTGAGTACCGTCAACGTCGTACATATGTAGCACGTCTGATCTGAATCTGTAAAAGCATAGTCCGAAAATCAATAATTATATGCGCAGTACACAACAATTAAGCAACGCACGTAGGTCTCCTCCAACACCAACACCTCACCTCAAACCACCTTCGCAGGTACAGACGCAAGTGTCTGTTACATCCCAGCCTGCACGGGTGCCGGCTCCGATACGTGAAGGTAAAAGGTTCCATGAAAGTTGACAAAGACGAGTGAGTGGTGATATCATTTAGTTTCTAACCGAAGTCAACTTGTAGAGATACTTTACCTAGTAGTCCGCCTTGGATTTCCAGACCCAAATTCCCCGACCATATCACCATGCCCTTGTTTTCTACAAGGTTCCAATGTAGCATACTAATGCAGTTTCCGAGAATGAGCGAATCGGGATCTGTCGCGATCAGTATGCCAATGTCGAATATTTTCAGGAATGGTTTCGCTGCGTCGGGGTGAGCGTCGTTCGTTGTAATTCACTTCATATGGATATCGTATGCATGGCTATCACTGCCCATGTAGTTTAGCTTACGAGTGGACTGGGTAAAAAGATGTAAACGTTTACTCACATGTCTGAGTGGGCAGTTACTATAGCAAGTGGAAACCGTGCAGGGCAGAAAGTGAAGTCCCCCAAGACCCCATCGCCGACCGGGTGAGTCCAGGAGTATAAATCAACAAAGCCAGACGCGGATGGCATTCGTGCAAAATGGATGTAGTCCGAGTCCATCCTAGCCGAAACCAATATATCACTGGCCCACAATCTCGTCAAATTCCCTAAGGGCCTAAGATCGTTTAAGGGAGTGTGTCTGAGCGTATACTTCCGATGCTGGTAGTCAACATGTTGCCAGGCAGTGTCACGCTGTTCAAGTCGTTTGCAATATGGGGGGTACAGTCGTTTGGGAGGATCCTACTGGAATCATTTGGAAGTCACTGGGGTCGATGATACTACTGTGAAAGCTGCAGTTTAGCAGTACGGTATTGCGTACCGTTTCAAAGGACCAGACATCAGTGAACAGATGATTCCTTGATACAGTGGCAGCCGCGGAAACTACAGAAGGATACAATTCTTGTACTAGTCACGATGCTGAGTCAAAAATACAAACAGAAGCAAAACACCGGACTCTAGACTGTTGCAGTTTTCAACTTCACACCACCATGTACGGTGCATCAACAGGGTATTCGAATGATAGTCACTATCCAAAGATCCTCGGACTTCCGCCCGTATCTAAGTACTGTCTATATGGAACGTCTCATCTGAATCTGTAACAAATTCCAACCATACTCCAAAAAATCAATAACAAGATTAAAGCAATTGGCATATGCTCAATACATACCACCTAAGCTGCGCGCGTAGCACGGCACCTCCAACAACTTGAACAACAACACCAACAACACCAACATCTCCAGACTCCTGCGTTTGTTCCTTCCGGATGTCAATAAACGTCGGCTGCCACTCACCACCCCAGGATCAGGGTTGTTTTCACCATGGATTACGCTCCGCCTTGTATCAGCAATAAACGTTCTTATCTGGCCTTCTTTTTTTCAAGGGTCGACCATTGGCTCGGCCCGAAAAAATGTCTGTTTGCAAATTCGCATCATATAGATCCCGCCAAAGCGCTTCGACATTTGACGTTTGCCGCATTAGTCGCCCGACTGGGCAGACATACGGTCATAATCGGGTGCGTGCATATAAAAACCTAAGTATTGTACTTGCTGTCATGGTCAGTTCTCCCAGCCCAGGATGGTAGCCGAATCTGAGCTTCGAACGGTCCATACAGAAGGGGCCGCCTTCCAGGATGATAAAGAAGGCTCAGAGACATTGGAAGCATGTCGAGTCTCCAAGGATTGGGACCCTCCCTCAAGCCCGGATGAGTGTCCCGAAGGTGGTCTGGCAGCTTGGGCCACTGCTTTTGGAGCGTAAGAAGACTCGAACTCTTTGGTCTGGCCCTGACTCGGTCTACACAGGTTTCTTGTACAGTTTTGTGGGTTTGGGTGAGTCTGGTGCAAGTGTTGACAGGAAATGACTTTGCGACTGACTCAGGTTAAAAGGTATACCGATTCATTTGGTGTCTATCAAGGTATTGCTGTAGACAAACACAAGCATATGCGCATGTAATATTCAATCTATTACCCTCTAGACTTTTATACCCAACATTACCTGACAAATGAGACAGTCGTCTGCTATATCGTGAGTTTCTACTTGCATTTTCATAGCAGGTATCTTCAAGCCTTGCAGATGGATCGGGAGCACGAGCGCGTTTTTAATAATTTCTTTGGGCCTCGTGTCAGGTTTGCTGTACGACCGAGGATATTTGTGAGTGTAGATATGTCGGAGGTTCTCGATGATACTTCAACAAGCTTAACTAGTTACCATCTCATGATTGCCGGATCGTTTTTGCAGAGTTTCTGTCTATTTATGTTGTCTTTATCGAAACCCGATCAGTACTACCAGGTAACCTCACCTGATTTAAAAACATCGTTTTCTGACTCAGTCTTAGATATTTCTCTCTCAAGGTTTAGGCTTGGGTATCGCATCAGGGCTCATGTATATCCCTAGCATAGCTGTGATCTCGCATCATTTCCGACGGAGGCGCACACTGGTTATGACGTTCGTCGCTACGGGCTCATCGCTAGGCGCTATCATCCATCCAATCATGCTCAATAACCTCCTCAACGGCCCTCTTGGCTTCGCCCATGGCGTCCGTGCAAGCGCAGGGTTGATCAGCTCATTTCTCTTAACTGCATGTCTGTGCATGCGAACTCGCCTTGATCCGCCGGCGACACCAGTGAATTATATTGTGGTATCTAGAACATGTATTCACGACGTACCATTTATTCTCCTGATAGTAGGGTGAGACCTACTACGTACCTTTTCTCGAATTCCTCCAACTAACCATCCCGCAGGGGCTTCCTTTTCCAGATTGGCGTCTTCTACCCATTATTCTTCTTTCAACTTCGACTCTATCAAGCACGACATCAGCGTTAACTTCTCGTTTTACTCTGTGGGTTCCAGCACTGCGCAAGTCATTGGTCTGCTGACAAAATCTCCAGCTAGTGATTCTAAATGGGTCCAATTTTATAGGGCGACTCACGTCGGGGTTCATTGAGGCATTCACGGGTGTTCTGAACTTGGACTATAGTGTCGTCGATTTCGTGCGGTGTGCTCATTTTAGGCATGATTGGGATGGGTAGCTTGGCTAGCGTCGTTGTGCTTGGTGTGCTTTATGGCTATTTTGCAGGGCTGAGTAAGTAATTGTTTCTGCTATCATTGGTGTGCAAGTTTCAGATGGGTTCACCATTGCATGTAGACATTGCGATGATGGCTCCACTCATTGCTACTTTAACGCCCGACCTCTCTGAGCTTGGGCAAGTGATCATTTATGTTTGAACGTACGAACCATCTTATTTGGATCACAGCGCGCGGATGGGCATCTGTGTCTTTATTCTTGGTAAATATTATCAACGTTACTGTTACTTCCATGTTGTTCAAACTTGTCGCGATCCTCACTGTATAGGATTCGGAGGTTTGATTGGTGAGTGCAGTGGTGTCGTTTCTTGCTTCAAATTCCAATTCTTTATACAGGAACACCCATATCCGGCGCTCTGCTAACATCTAGTTATACCTGGTGGATACCGGGTCTGTTCTCTGGGGTGAGTCGACCGTCACTATTATTTTTTCTCCAGAATTCACGTCGAGTCAAATCAAATCAACCTACATAACAGATCGTTTCACTGGCTGGTGCCATGATGTTTATCATCATGCGATACATATTTCTTAGAAGGCAGCGCATCTTAGGTAGGTCTTCATCTGGCTCATGGCTGCCGAATTGAGGACTTATCCCTCTTCTTGTACTTGGCCATTAACACTGGGAGTGGCAGGTCCTTTCCACTAGGTCCGTCACTATTTTTGTAAATATTCTTGTCGCTTGACTGCCATCAAGGCGATAAAGGAACGGGCTGTGCAACTTCTTTCGATCAGATTCCGATATGCGAGAGGAGGGGCCTGAAGTGATTTGCAGGACGTGGTTTTTTTTGGCTGTGACCGACGGTCTTCTCAACCTGGTATGAAGTTTTTTCCACACTCGCGTCAAGTTTCTTGGGTTTTAGAGCCTGTATCGAAAAGCTGTCTGCTCGTTGACAATGTACTGGAGCATCGCAGTAGCAACGCTGGAAGATAAAATGACAAGGATGATATCACATTTTCCAGTACTCCTTCCTAGAGGAATGATATGCAATCACCTCAACAGAATTCCCACTCACGTGGTGACGCGTAATATTTTCAGAAAACTGAAGTGGTTGATGTCGCGCTGTCACAGGCTGCTCCCGACTAGCAGATATACCTGTGGTAGGGAGGAGAGATATTTGTCGTTTGTGACAAAGGCTCTCGTAGGCGCCAGCAACATCTTGTGCTCGTGTCGCAAAGGAAGAGTCATTGGAAGCAAGATTGAGAGTTCTATGATGTCCAGTCCCGCTCCCTCAGTGCGTCACAGTAAGTGTCAACCACGGCTTTCCGCGCTTTGCATGTCTATTGCGGGTGTAACAGTCACTGAGCACAACTGGCACTTTACTGATTATTACATTGACGAGACACCCTTCAACGTTTCATATAGTTCTACCTCCTTGACCACCTTCACGGACATGCCATCAGCTAATCAAGAAACTGCAATTCGCTGAGCTCAATATCGTCATATTGCTTGGACTTCAGGTATTGCTGAATATGAATACGTCAGCGGGGCTGCGACAACTGCACCAGATATCACATACGCAGGCGGTGTTGTAAAACAACTTCAATGATTGTATTCATTAACTCCGCCTTCTTCTGAGAGCTTTTGGTCGACCCTGGTAATGAACTCGAGAGATCCTCGGTTGTCAAGCATAAGACTCGTGGCCAAGTGGTTAACAGATTCAAAATCTGTTCCTCCTGGATGGTGCAGGTTCGAAACTTGCTGACGCCGGTAGCTTTTCTCTATAATCGCACTTGGGACATGAGCTCATGGAGAGGTCTTCGGACCTCGACCACAAGACTTATGGCCAAGTTGTTAACAGATTCGAAATCTGGTCTTCCTGGATGGTGCAGGTTCGAAACCTGCCGCCAAATATTTTTTCTGTGATCTGAATGCTACGTACCATAGTACAATATTAATGGCAGTTGCTTATTGGGAGCAACATCGGATTGCATGTGTCTTCAAATACTCAGTACATGTGGTGATATCTACTCTAACAAAAAGGTTCGGAAAGAACAGAAAGCCTAGCGGGAGCTGGAAGCAGATCAACTATTGTCCAATGCGTGAAAGAGGCGGGAATCACCTTGTGAGAACTGTAAAATGGGAAGAGGGTCTATTACTAGTAGTTGCTCTGGTACTTCCGCTCTGCAACGTTGCTAGGGTAGCTCAATCAATCACATTTGATGTTCCTGCTGGTGACGCGCTACCGCTTGAGGAGCGTTGACTTGCTGGCGAGGAGGACGGGGTGGCTACGCCAAGCTTTGGCCTTTTTCCACCGTGGGCATTAGCGGTGTAATACAAGACAATATCAGCATCGCGACTCAGATATGAATATCGAAAGGTCAGGATGTGCACGAGATCTTGCGCATAAATTGTAACATCACAACGACGTGTGAACAACACCTGGGGAAGGACAAGGGAAACTGAAAAGGGCAGGCCGACGAAGGACGAACTTACCAGGGCAGGGGTTTCAACTGGTTACTGCAAGATGCAGACAAGGAAGGCGACCATATGAATGCGGGACACGTGGCATTTTAAGTGTAAAACCTGACAAGTACGTGGCAGAGGCTTGGTAGGACAAGGAATCTGAGACATGATAAAAAATGGGCCATAGCCTATATGCAAGGCGGAAGATGGCAAAGAGACAATTGAGGACAACACAAGCACGCAGATGCAACAGCAAAGGGATGGGATGGAAATGGAGAGGTAGTAGACTAGTATGATGGCGCATGTACGGCGAATCTAGGCTTGGGCATTCAGAAAAAGGAAATCTTTTCACGCACACATAAAAATATGGACGTTTGGATTTGACAGATCTCTCCCTACTTTGTAGAGTCGTACTATAAGTACTGCTCTTGTTCTCTCATGGGCTTGTTGCATTGCAAATTGCCTAGTACGCAATTGGCGATACAGGTCTCATTATTATCTATCACACCAGTTGACACGTCAGTGAGTCTGGGACCTCAGCGCTCAGCTGCCAGTGTGTGCAGCCGTCCGACGTTCGCGTTTCTGACCACGCAGCAACTGTATTTGCAGCATTGTGTTGCAGGTTGTGACTGGCCACTGATAGGTACCGATGCCGACTACTTAGGGGACTCTGTGACCAGACATGAGTCACTGATTCACTTCCACCTGATGATTTTTCGTCCGTACTAGCCCTTGAGGTAATGACCTCTAGCCAAGGATAGAAGAATTCAACTACAAACAGCCTCGAAGGTCACATCTGAGCATTATACCTCTTTCAAGAACGGACGTATATTACACCCATGTATCCCCTGGCGGTATTTCTTAATTCCTTCCAAGGCCTCAATGTAACTATGTACCCGACATAGTCCCTGCATTAGGTAAGTTATCTGTCGTTTGTATGCATAATCACTTGTCCATGTGACAAAGCGGATACTCAATCGTCTCCTAGCCTGCTGTCAACCACGCAAGCCGAACAACCAACAGTCCTGTGACAAGACAGCTGTTGTCATGTCATCAGTTGTCTACCATCACAGGGATGGACCCTGAGAGATCGTCCGGGTTTCTTCTACATATGTGCGCATTCAATCGCCATCAAGGTTTTGCTGACGCCCTGTCGGCGATGTAATGCACCTCCTACCGCGTAGCCCCTTTAGCACGAGGCGCTCTTGCAGGGTCAAGATTATTATTGGTCTTATAATCACTAAGCCCAACGTTTGCTGGTGCATAGCGTTTTACTCCCATTTACTTTCATGTCAATAAAGTCCGCAATCCATAATACGTTCACGACGAACAAGAAAGAAGATGATGTGAAAGAGCTAGGACGCATGCCATCATCTAATTCCCAAACCGCTTGTTCAGAATTAGGCCCTCCGGATGGCGGGTTTCGGGCATGGGGGACTGTTTTTGGATGGTAAGTCGTGTCTCAAATGATACCCGCATACTATGTGTCTAACAATCACGACGATGCCTAGTTTCCTCATGCAATTTTGTGGTTTTGGGTCAGTTCTAGCCCTGTTCGTTCGAGACACATCAGTCAATAGCACTTGAACAGATACATATCGTCTTTTGGAGTTTATCAAGGTACGCAGCAGTCGCATGAGCATTTATATCCAAAGTTGATGAACGACCTCGGAAGATTATTACACACGAATTTATCTGACCAATTATTCACCATCTGCAATATCGTAAGTGAATATGCTTTTAGTCTGCAGTTCTTGGTCTCAGTCAGTGTCAGATGGATTGGTGCATTGACCTCGTTCCTCGCAGTCAATGTCACGTTGATCTCAGGTCCGCTGTACGATCGAGGGTGGTTGTAAGTTGCCATGTCTTTATACAGTCAGTTGTTAATTTCTGCGCAAATTACTTATAGCTATCGATTGATGATTGTGGGGTCGCTGCTCCAATCAGTGTCCTTGTTCGCTTTATCCTTCACAAAGCCTGGTCAGTTTTACTTGGTGAGCAGCAGGACCGATTTCGTCGTCAATGGGCTACCTATACAGTGCGACCAGGCTTTTATATTTCAGGGTGTCATTTCTGGGTTTGGGATGGGCCTGACGTACGCTCCCAGTATCGCGGTCGTCTCTCAGCACTTCATCAGAAGACGCACGTTGGCAATGTCTCTCGTCACATCCGGTACACCACTTGGTTCCATGATTCATCCGATCATGCTCAATCACCTTTTGAATGGTACTGTGGGCTTTGCGAGAGGCATTCACGCCAGTGCGGGTTTTGTCAGTGCTCTATTATTGATCGCCTGTTTATTCATGCGTACAAGAGAACTGCCGGTACCGACTGCCAGTTATATGGTAGTGGCGCGAAAATGCTCTCGCGAGGTTCTCTTCATCCTCATGACCGTTGGGTATGTTGTATCTGGCATACTCCAAAAGGATTCACAGTCTTGACAGTTGATCATGCCTAGGTCAACACTATTTCAGATCGGGTTTTACTTCCCCCTGTTTTACTTGCAACTAGACTCTACCAAACATGGTATTGACACCAAATTCTCGTTCTACTCCGTACGCCAGGATTATTCTCTTTATTGTCGATTCTTAACTCGCTTTAGCTTGTGATAATGAATGCAGCCTGTTTTGTCGGACGCTGCATGACAGGAATGGTTGCGGGGTATACGGGGGTGTTGAACCTTACGATCGCATCCACCGTCGCATGCAGTGCTATCATAATATCCATGATAGCTCTGACTGACGTGGCCAGTGTGGTTGTGTTAGGACTTGCGTACGGCTACGTCTCTTGTGTTTGTATGTGTCACACTACAACTTGTGTAATTCCTGGTACTGACTTTCCAAGATATCGCGCTGATAGTCCCATTGGTGACTGAGCTCACACCCAATTTGTCTGAGCTGGGGTTAGCTTCTCTTGCATTTGCAATCTGATGATGTTGACCCTCCTCACATGTAGTGCGCGAATGGGCATATGTTTTACCTTTACTGGTATGTATCATCTAGCTCTGTCTCGTAACTCCTGACAGTACGCGGATGGTCAGCTTTTAGTGGATTACTCAGTGAGTAGTTGCTTTCCGGTCTTTATTCGCCATTGAACCAATATTTTCAGGCGGCCCAATATCAGGCGCTTTGCTTGGTTCTCAATATAGGTGGTGGATACCGTCGCTCTTCAATGGGGTGAGTAGTTCATATTGTTTCTGGACTTGCGCAAGCCCTGTGCTAAAATTGCATCTAGCTCATCTCCCTCGTCGGAAGTTCGATGTTCGTGGCGATGCGCTTGGTGATATACCGCCAGAATAAACGGAAACCATCCGTAGCTGACGGGGACACGTGAACCAGTTGTTCCGTTGGATTCTGTCGAGGCCATTATTCACTCGTGCTGGATTAGATGTGACTTCTTGGAAATATGTGTATGAAATGTTCGTGTATTGAACGCGTGTGCAGAAGTACAAACATTCTTGGACTGGATGATCTATGCCGTAGCAGCGTGCGGGCACCAACCCCCGCTCACATTGAACGAACGACAGCAGACAACGTAAAGTCTCTCACTCGTAGACGCCTCCATGGTGCCGAAATCATCGACAACTGACTTGCTCTGCTTTCATGCCAAGACAAAGAAATTAGATTTAAATCATCATTTAAATCTACTCTTATCCACGGCTGTTAATCCCACGTGTCAACGAGCATCAAGCGCCGCTTGCAAATTCCGATTTCGAACAATCTTTGTACTCAGATGGAGAACAAAACGATACGACAGGGTCAGACAGGTCAAGAGGCAAAATGAACGGCAAGCAGTAAAGCCGAATGACCAATAACTTAACTTTCGCTTCCTTAGGTAAGTTGTCCTCCTAGTGTGGCGTATCATCTCCTATCATCCGGTTTGCGTAATAACCAGTAGAATATATGTGGCACGCAACGCCACGCACGTCGAGTAAGGTTTATCATATCAGCGAATATCGCTGGCGTAGTGGCCTACAACGGAAATAAGTCTGGAATTCGAACGTCTGTTGGCCCCCCAATACAGTAAGGTTTATTCGAGTGGCGACATTTGCAAATTCACTGGAAATGATGGAACAGCAGCATTGCGGCACGTCTCCCTAATGTGGCAATATGATAATGTTAGTGAAGCCTGCGGAACGCCGATTTCAGAGTCATCCATTTTCCTTCGAGCCCGCTGTCAACCTTGCAAGCGGAACAGCTGACTATTTAAATTTCCCTAACGAGGTAACTGTTATCATGCCGTCAGGTATCCATCCTCCAATCACAAGGGTATGGACCCTATGGGACCCTGCAGCCCAAGAGTCTTATAAGTCTATGGTCTCCATCGAGATGACTCCCTACTGCCTGTCAGCGACGTAATGCCAGGCAGCCCCTTTAGTGTGAGGTTGTACGGCATCCTTGCAGGGTTAAGGGTGATACCAGTATTACCAGCAGCTGCGAACAGCGTGCAAGCGCGCGTCGTCGAGTAGACCACATGCTTTGTACCCACTGCAAGCTGCAGGCAACCATATCGGAGAATAGATTCCTGTAGGAAAACAGATTGGCAACGGTTTCGAGCAATCGAAAGCTCTCACTAGGGTGACATCGCTACCAAGACCCTTCCAGTGCTTTCTAGTATTCTTCAACCTTCGCCTATATTTAGAATATGAGTACATAAATGGTGCGTGGATACCTGGTATTGACTTTTGGCTCTAGGCACACCAGATTATGGGGATAGACTTATTGTAGCGGCCAAAAATCGTTCCGGCATTTTCTCATGCTATGCACAGACCTAGAATAAATATGTAATTGGCGCGCTTGAGAAGATGTCAATTGAGAGACGATATACTCCAAATGTGAACGCATAGGCTCGAAATATGGTGTAGTTGTCCTCGGAAAGTATGCTGTGGAGTGATTAATGGTGTGCACATAGGCGTGGTGATCATCGATTATGCAAGTAAAAGGCAGGAGAGATACGTGATGTAATAATAATCGGAGGCATGCATCAGCAACTGCTGTTGGTTCTGAAGGGCAATGAGAACCCGAGATCAAAATACAAGCCAGAGCTTACAGGTCTAGTGAAATGGATCGGAGAACCACTCTGCCTACAACGAATAAGAGCAAGGACATCATGTGTAGTACGTGCTCACCGAAATTAAGCGGGGGTAGCAGCAATAGCGCAATTCTTATCCGCCTATCACTTCCTGCAAGATTGAATGTCTCACACGATGTTTGGTAGATGAAACGTTTGGAATCTGGTGAGGACGAAAACAAAGCGACAAGTCACCGATGTGGGAACCTCGCAGCAGGAGTTCACAAGCATGAGGGAGGTGTCGATTACCCCTTCAATCTTCCCTCATTCTCTTTCTCAGCTGAATTCCCGGCATCGTCAAATCAATTTGGCTGCGAACTGTGACAGAGGTCCCATAGGCGACTTGTATAGGCTGTGCGACGTAGAGCTGTCCAATACGCTGAATCAATCGGTCACGGTAAAATCCGAGGCCGGATTTGAAAGGTGATCATCGAAGTCGACTCGGCGACCAGCTGCAGAGTGCCGCGGTCCACGACGAAGCTCCGATTCAAATCAATATTGCTACGGTCACCCGGTGCGATCAACTCGTTCTTCCGATAACTTCACTAGAAGTTGACGGAATTTAGCGTTCTGGGCATCTGCGTTTACGCAGGACATACGAGAATGGCATCTGTGAAGGGGACTGGCTCATTCGACCGCCTTGTCACAGTTGACATGCGCCGGCACGCAGCCCGTGACATCAGATACGACCCCAGATTTACTAAATCAGGACAGCAGCAGTATTTTCAATTTTTCCCGCTACCGCGTCTTGTAAACCTCGTTCTTCACTATATTTTACTTTTTTTGCAATCGATCGGAATTTGGCAGCTGTGGGCTCTGTGAATAGCGGTGTCGTAGACTCGTAGATCGCTCTGGACAGACTGGACCGTCGTGCCAGCAGACCCTAAACAAGGAAGACAGCCTCAGGAGTTCAGTGGTCCTTCTACCTCCCATCAATTCAATGCTCGAACCAATGCCACGCTGACCACATAAGTCATCTTTGCGCATACAGAAAATCTCGAAACACCGGAGAGATGAGCCGAATATATCATATTATCTCATATATCCGTCGATATCCAGTGACGAGAACGAAGACCCATGCGGTGTTAGCCACGAATCAGCGTTTGCCTCAGGTCACCGGGTGCCCGAGGGCCAGGGTCTTTAGCACACCTGTTTGAAACACGAAGACGGCTAACCATTAGCTCCATCTGGCCCTTTCATGCCGGCTGCAGACTTCGTTGACAGCAAGACAAGCTTGGCTTATAATCCCCAAGCCCTGCGTTTGCTGTCATAATGTTTTACTCGCCAACCAGTTCCTTCGATGTCTATGGCTCAGCCCAGGATTCGTGATACGCTTGTGGCACACGAGAAGCCGAATGCTCCGGAAGAGTTGGAACATGTGCATTCGTCTAATTCTTCGCCATCTTTTTCAGAATCTGACCCTCCAGATGGCGGGTTTTGGGCATGGGCAACTGCTTTCGGGTGGTAAGTTGTGTCTCAAACGATGCCTGCGAGTTGCGTATCTCACATTCACGATGGCAGTTTTTTGATACAGTTTTGTGGTTTTGGGTTCGTTCTGACACTGTTCCTTCGAGAGACGATATTTCACAGCACTTTGACAGATACGTATCGTCTTTTGGAGTGTACCAAGGTGCGCAGCGTTGGCATGATTGATTGTCCACATGGCTGACAAAAGAACTAAGATTTTTACACGCGAATTTACCTGGCCGACCAACCACCATCTGCAATATCGTAAGTGAATGCACTTATATTCTAGAGTCTGTTGTCTCAGTCACTGTCAGATGGATTGGTGCATTGACCTCGTTCCTGGCAGATAATGTCACCTTGATCTCAGGACCGCTGTACGACAGAGGATGGTTGTAAGTTGCCACATATTGGTAGTAGTTTTTTTCCCACAAATTTTTGATAGTTACCAATTGATGATTGTGGGGTCGGCCCTCCAGTCACTATCCTTGTTCACGTTATCCCTCGCAAGGCCTGGTCAGTTCTATCTTGTGAGCAGTCCTGATAATTCTGTGGATGGGCTACCTATATGCGGCGACTAGATTTTCATGGTTCAAGGTGTCCTTTCTGGGTTGGGGATGGGCCTAACATACGGTCCCTGCATGGCGGTCATCTCTCAGCACTTCTCCAAAAGACGCACGTTGGTAATGTCTCTAGTCGCGTCCGGTTCACCAATGGGTGCCGTTATTCATCCGATCATGCTGAATCACCTTTTGAACGGCTCTGTTGGCTTTGCGCGAGGTGTCCGTGCCAGTGCAGGTTTTGTTAGTGCCCTTTTATTGATCGCCTGCTTATCCATGCGCACAAGAGCACTATCAACATCGAAACCGACCATCAGCTATAGTGCAGCTGTGCGAAAATGCTCTCGCGATGTTTTCTTCATCCTCATAACCGTTGGGTATGTCGCCTCTGGCGCTTGCGTAAGTTCAATTCAAAGTATTTACAGCTGACCGTGCCTAGGGCAACGATATTTCAGATCGGGTATTACTTCCCTATATTTTACTTGCAACTCGACTCTATCAAACATGGGATTGACGTCCATTTCTCGTTCTATTCCGTATGTCTGATATTTTCATCGTCGTCGTCCACTTACAACGTGATTTAGCTTGTAATCATGAATGCTGCCTGTGTTATCGGCCGTTGCACGGCAGGAATGATTGCGGTGTATACGGGGGTGTTGAATTTCACGATTGCATCCACTGTCGCATGCAGTGCCATCATAATGTCCATGATAGCTCTCAGTGACGTGGTCAGTGTGGTTGTGTTAGGACTTGCGTATGGCTACTTTTCCGGTGTTTGTATGTGTTACACTACAGCTTGTGTAATTCCTGGCACTGACTTTCCAAGATGTTGCATTGATGGTACCGTTGGTGACTGCATTCACGCCTGACTTGTCCGAGCTAGGGTTAGCTTCTCCTACGTGTACAGTCTGGCGACGTTGACCCTCATATCTAGAGCGCGATTTGGGATATGTTTTGCCTTAACTGGTATGTAACATCTAGCTCTGTGTCAAAATTCCTGACAGTACGCGAATGGTCAGCCTTTAGTGGATTACTCGGTGAGTAGTTGCTTTCCAGTATTTATTTGCCATTGAACCAATATTTTAGGTGGCCCAATATCAGGAGCTTTGCTTTCTTCTCAATATAGGTGGTGGATACCGTCGCTCTTCAGTGGGGTGAGTAGTTTTGCATTGTTCCTGCACTTGCGCAGCCCCATGCTGAAAATTGTATCTACCGTGATAAGCTCATCTCATTTCTTGGAAGTTCAATGCTTGTAGTGGTGCGCTTGATGATATACCGCAGACGGTAAATGGAAGACACTACGGCCACACACAGCGCGCGGAAACGAGGTGAAGTTCCCGTGTGTTGTATGAGCGCTTTTTCTTCGGCTCGGTATATATGCTTGTCTGTTCTACATACTCACCCTTGTGCATAATTTATACCTACGAGCACTGTCAATACATAGATCATACATATATTTGCCGCTGTATTCGCTACTGAACTGTTTCACTGTCATCGTACAGCCGTTCAGATGGCAAAACACAAGCCAATCGCCGCCACGGTTACGGCAGTCACGTGGGAGTCTAAGGCGCTTAATTAAACGAAGACTCTGATGCGATTTGCTCCCTCCCTTCAAACTTCAAACCGTCTTGAATTCTTTCTTTGCTGATCTGGCAGGTGCAAAACTTTATACCGACATGCAGCTCATCAGCGAGCACGGACGGATGAAGTGCGTTTGAACTTTGTACATTCGAAAGCGATAAGCTCTACCCGCGAATCATTTGATGGTCGACTTCCGCCTGATCTGTCTTCACGATACTGGGCCCATTACTGGGTACTGGTACTATCATATTATGAGGTCGGAGCAGATTTGCTCGTGTTATTCTCTACAGCAGTAGTGGTGCAAGAATGCCCACCTCTCCTCTCAGTCGACCTTGATCACTGAATGGGACCGCTTATCAGTGCAGCTTTTTAGATTTCTGATCTCAGTAGCAAGTTGCAGCATTGCCTTGTGTTTCCTTTCGGGTGAGTGCCTTCCCTTATGAGTACGAATTGTCTACGAATGACTCAAGGGCAGGAAATATGCTAACACTGACATACTGAGGCGATGCTGGTGACCTTACCACAAGGAAAATCTTATCAAGGGTGTGGTTTCAATTTGATTTCTACATAGATTGCTTATATTGCATGCTCGCGTATCCCCTTGCGGTATTCAATGAGTAGATTTCCTGGCCTCGGCATTTACGTTTTCTTCGTGATTTTTCTTCAGTAAATTGTCAACATTCGCTCATAGTACGGCTGATCACCAGGTCACTCTTATGACAGGGTAAGTATTGGGTCTTATTTCCTTCGGATCCGCCGTCGGCCACACAAGCCGAACAGTCGGCAATCTTACTTCAAGACAGCTGTCATAACCCTGTCGGGTATCTATGATCACAAGGATGGACCCTGCAAGACCCTATGGATTATTCTATGCGTGCATTGAGATCGCCGTCAATGACTTGTTACGACTGCCGGTGATGTAATGCACCTATTATCAAGTAACCCCTTTAGAATGAGATTGCACGATACTCTTACAGGGTCACAATGGATATTGTCCTTATAATTCTGAATACTTGCATCTGCTAGTGGACAACGCATTACTCACCCACCATTTTCTTCGATAGCGGCTATGGCGCAGGCTGAATTCAGCAATGAACTCACGACGAACGAGAAGTTAGACGTTCTGGAAGAGCTGGGACGCAAACAGTCTTTTAACTCCCCATCACTGTGTTCAGAATCCGACCCTCCGGATGGCGGGCGTCTGGCATGGACAACTGCTTTTGGATCGTAAGATGTTCTCGAATTGTATTCACAAGTTTTACGTCTCACGTTCGCCATGATGTTTAGTTTTCTGATGCAATTTTGTGGCTACGGGTCGGTCTAAATCTGTCCGATCGAGACATCAATTGATAACTCCCAAACAGATACATAAACTCTTTTGGAGTCTACCAAGGTAAGTACACAGCAGTGGCATGATCGGTTGTGTACATGGTTGACATAGGAACTTGGAAGATTTTTACACACGAATTTATCTAACCAACGAACTACCGTCTACGATATCGTAAGTGAATATACTTCTAATCTGATGTTTGTGATCTCAGTCAGTGATAGATGGATCGGCGCATCGAGCGCGTACCTCGTAGCCAGTAGCACCTTGATCTCTGGTCTGCTGTACGACAGAGGGTGGTTGTAAGTTTCCATACGTTCATAGTCGATTGTTTATCACGCTGATCGCCGATAGCTACCATTTGATGATCGTGGGGTCGTTGCTTCAATCACTGTCCTTGCTCGCGTTATCTTTCGCCAAGCCTGGTCAATTCTATATGGTAAGTAGCCCCGCTGATCCCATTGGTGGGCTACCTATATCTGTGACTAGATTTTTATGGTTCAAGGTGTCCTTTCCGGGATTGGGATGGGCCTGACGTATGGTCCCTCCATGGCAGTCATCTCTCAGCACTTCTCCAAAAGACGTACTTTGGTAATGTCTCTCGTTGCGTCCGGTTCACCACTGGGTGCCATTATCCATCCGATCATGCTGAATCACCTTCTGAATGGCTCCGTTGGCTTTGCGCGAGGTGTCCGTGCCAGTGCGGGTTTCATTAGTGCCCTTTTATTGATTGCCTGCTTGTCCATGCGCACGAGGGCACTGTTGACGTCGAAACCGACTATCAGCTATAGTGCAGTGGCACGAAAATGCTCTCGCGAGGTCCCCTTCATCCTCATGACCGTTGGGTAAGTTCTCTTTGGCATCCGCATAATCCAACTCGAAGTCTTTGGAGCTGATTACGCCTAGGATCATGCTATGTCAGATCGGCATTTTATTTCCTGTATTCTACTTACAACTGGACTCTATCAAACATGGGATCGACGTCCATTTCTCGTTCTACTCCGTACGTCTAATATTTTCCTTTTCTTCATCGACTCTCAACCCGATTTAGCTTGCGATCTTGAACGCTGCCTGTGTCGTCGGACGTTGCACAGCAGGAATAATTCCAGCATATACGGGGTTGTTGAACTTGATGATCGCATCCACTGCCGGCATGCAGCGTCATCATCATATCCATGATAGCTCTGAGTAATATATCAAGTGTGGTTGTGATAGGCGTTGGATATGGCTACTTTTCTGGAGTTTGTATGTTTCACACTGCCGCTAGTGTAATTTCTGGCACTAACGATCCAAGATATCGCGGTGGTGGTCCCACTGGTGACTATGTTGACGCCCGACTTGTCGGAGCTAGGGTTAGTTTTTTCTATTACACACACATTGGCCAATCATGTTGAACCTCCTATGCAGTGCGCGTATGGGTATATGCTTCGCCTTTACTGGTGTGTATCAGTCAGCCCTGTGTCAGAAATGCTGACAAACTGCGAATTTCAGCATTTGGTCCATTGCTGAGTGAGTATTTCTTTTGCGGTCTTTATTCTCCCATTGAGCCAATGTTTTCAGGTGGTCCAATATCAGGCGCTTTACTTTCATCTCAATATAGGTGGTTGATACCGTCGCTCTTCAGTGGGGTGAGTAGTCGCAATCGTTCTCGCACTTACCCGTGCTGAAATTGTGTCCTGTGACAATAAGATCATCTGTCTTATTGGAAGTTTGGTGCTTGTGGCGATGCGCTTGATAATATACCGGCAAAGATAACCGGAATCCACCCATAGCTTGGCGCGGAAACGAGGTGAACTGTTTGTTCTTGGAGGGCTTTCGTCGGGGCCGGTATATACTTGGACTGGAAGACAAGACTGGGACCGGACGGGGGGCCCGGGGGCAGCACTATCTTGCGATATATGCGTGGTAAATGTATTAAAAACATGTGCAGATAGATATATATCCAGGACCACCGATCTACTTATAAGTTGAGCACAAATTGTACAATGTTGAACCGACCCTAGCTAGATCAGTGGGCATCGTGGGTACATCTAGTATTGAGAATTTCACCCAGATGCGCGAAAGTCATTTTGCTCTGTATGTATCATGAACCGGCTTATATAAGCACCACGCAAATATTGCTGGCCCACCATCACATACTAAGGCCGCATTAACTTACGACGACAGACTCTCATGCGGTCTGCTCCCCTCCTTTCAAAGTGCCTTGAATTCTTTCTTTGCTGATGCAGGTGCAAAATACTGACATGCAGCCCATCAGCGAGCACGACGATGAAGTACGTTTGAATTTTGAACTTTAAACTTTGTACATTCGAAAGCGATGTGCTCTGGCGCCGTGACTCATTTCATGGTTGCCTACCTGATCTGTCTTCCCACGATACTGAATCATCACTGGGTGCTGGTGCTGTTATATCATGAGATCGGAGAAGATTTGCTTGTGTCATTCTCCACAGCATTGCCTTGCGTTTCCTTTCAGGTGAGTGCCTTTCCTTAGTATGAGTATGAATTGCCTACAAATGACTCAAGGGCAGGAAATATGCTAACATTGACATACTGAGGCGATGCTGGCGACCTCACCCCAAGCAAAAATCTTATTAAGGGTGTGGTTTCGATTTGATTCCTACATAGATTGCTTATATTGCATGCTCGTGTATCCCCTTGCGGTATTCAATGAGTTGATTTCCTGGCATCGGCATTTACGTTCTCTTCGTTATGTTTCTTCAGTAAGTTGTCAGTATAGGTCAGCATTCACTCCTAGTACGGCTGATCACTAGGTCGCTCTTATGACAGGGCAAGTATTGGAATTCCTTCGGATCCGCCATCGGCCACACAAGCCGAACCGTCGGCAATCTTACTTCAAATCCCCGGACAAGACAGCTGTCATAATCCTGTCAGGTATCTGTGATCACAAGGATGGACCCTGCAAGACCCTATTGATTATTCTATGCGTGTACTGAGATCGCCGTCAACGACTTGTTAACGCCTCCCGGTGATGTAATACCTTATCAGGTCACCCCTTTAGAATGAGGTTGCACGACACTCTTGCAGGGTCACAATTGATATTGTCCTTATAATCCTGAATACTTGCACCTGAAAGTGCACAACACATTACTCACCCATCATTTCATTCGATAGCAGCTATGGCGCAGGCTGAATTCCGCAATGAGCTCGCGACAAACGAGAAGTTAGACGTTCTGGAAGAGCTGGGACGCAAGCAGTCTTCTGACCCCCCAACATTGTGCTCGGAATCTGACCCTTCAGATGGCGGGCGACTGGCATGGGCAACTGCTTTTGGATCGTAAGATGGCATTCACAAGTTTTACGTCTCACATTGTCTCACGTTCGCCATGATGCTTAGTTTTCTGAATCAATTTTGTGGCCTCGGGTCGGTCCAAAATCTGTCCGATCCAGACATCAGTTAATAGTTCTCCAACAGATACGTAGCCTCTTTTGGAGTCTACCAGGGTAAGTACATAGCAGTGGCATGATCCGTTGTGTACATGGTTGACGAACGAAATTCGAAGATTTTTACACACGAATTTATCTAACCAACGAATCACCGTCTACAATATCGTAAGTGAATGTACCTCTACTCTGATGTTTGTGATCTCAGTCAGCGTCAGATGGATCGGTGCATTGGGCGCGTTCCTCATACCCAGTTGCACCTTGATTTCTGGTCTGCTGTACGACAGAGGGTGGTTGTAGGTTTCGATACGTTCATAGTCAGTTGTTTATCATGCTGATTGCCGATAGCTACCATTTGATGATCGTGGGGTCGTTGCTTCAATCACTGTCCTTGTTCGCGTTATCTTTCGCCAAGCCTGGTCAATTCTATATGGTGAGTAGCCCCGCTGATCTCATTGGTGGGCTACCTATATCTGTGACTAGATTTTTATGGTTCAAGGTGTCTTTTCTGGGATTGGGATGGGCCTGACGTATGGTCCCTCCATGGTGGTCATCTCTCGGCACTTCTCCAAAAGACGTACACTGGTGATGTCTCTCGTTGCGTCCGGTACACCACTGGGTGCCATTATTCATCCGATCATGCTGAATCACCTCTTGAATGGCGCTGTTGGCTTTGCGCGAGGTGTCCGAGCTAGTGCAGGTTTTGTTAGTGCCCTGTTATTGATCGCCTGCTTATCCATGCGCACGAGAGCACTATCGACACCAACTGCCAGCTATAGTGCAGTGGTACGAAAATGCTTTCGCGAGGTCCCCTTCATCCTCATGACAGCTGGGTAAGTTCTCTTTGACATCTGGATAAACCAAGTCGGAGTCTTTGAAGCTGATTACGCCCAGGACCCTGCTGAGCCAGATTGGCTTTTACTTTCCTGTATTCTACTTACAACTGGACTCTATCAAACATGGGATCAACGTCGATTTCTCGTTCTACTCCGTACGTTCAACTTTTTCTTGTTCTTCTTCGGCTCTCAACCCGATTTAGCTTGTGATCATGAATGCTGCCTGTATCGTCGGACGTTGCACAGCAGGAATAATTCAAGCGTATACGGGGTTGTTGAACTTGTTGATCGCTGCTGCTGCCGCATGCGGCGTCATCATCATATCAATGATAGCACTGGCTGACATATCAAGTGTGGTTGTGATAGGCGTTGCATATGGCTACTTTTCTGGAGTTTGTATGTTTCACACTGCCGCTAGTTTAATTTCTGGCACTAACGATCCAAGATATCGCGGTGTTGGTCCCGTTGGTGACTATGTTGACGCCCGACTTGTCGGAGCTAGGGTTAGTTTTTTTTTTCACACTGTCTGGTCAATCATGTTGACTCTCCTACGCAGGGCGCGTGTGGGCTTATGCTTCGCCTTCACCGGTGTGTATTAGTCAGCTCTGTTTCAGAACTCCTGACAAACTGCGAATGTCAGCATTTGGTTCAATGCTCAGTGAGCAGTTTTTAAATGCCGTCTTTATTTCCCATTGAACCAATAATTTCAGGTGGTCCGATATCAGGCGCTTTACTTTCATCTCAATATAGGTGGTGGATACCGTCGCTCTTCAATGGGGTGAGTAGTCGCAATCGTTCTCGTACTTACCCGTGTTGAAATCGTGTCCTGCGACCATAAGATCATCTGTCTCGTTGGAAGTTTGGTGTTTGTGGCGATGCGCTTGATAATACACCGGCAAAGATAACCGGAATCCACTCATAGCTTGGCGCGGAAACGAGGTGAACTGTTTGTTCTTTGAGGGCTTTGGGGGCCGGTATATACATGCACTGGAAGACAAGACTGGGACCGGACGGGGGGCAGCACTATCTTGCGATATGTGCGTGGTAAATGTATTGAAAGCATGTGCAGACAGATATATATCTCAGGACCGCCGATCTACTTATAAGTTGAGCACAAATTGTACAATGTTGAACCGACCCTAGCTAGATTAGTGTGCATCAATCTTATCTTCATTAATCTTGTCTTATCCGCGGTCAGGCTTGGGATTCTAGTAGTTAACATTAGCCTGGCCGAGAATAACTTGAAATCCCTTTAAAAAGCCTAGGAATTCGGACAACCATACCAATCGGAGCAGTTCCATGATGCAACACTTTGACCATCGTTCGCCCGGCGAGTTACGTCACTAGACTTAGAATTCTCGCTAAGTGCATCAGTGCTATTCTTGCTAAGCACCATCTAAACAGCGGCTCTGAGACGGTCCCCAACCACGCTATTCATAGGGTGGCTGGATGAGTTCCGAGGAGTCTGGACCTGTTTCATCAACTTCGGACAGGAAAACTCCCTCAAGGTCATTGATGGTTCATCATCGAACGATCCTTATGCTACTGGTGGGCCGGAGCTCCTTGCGCGTCGAACGCAAGCGCCTATCTAGCATTGATCAACTTTCGGTAGTATTGATGGAGTGGGAAGACCTGGCCATGGTGCCATGGCACTTTCTCGCGTTCAATTCCGCCCTTGGTGCTACATAGACTCGGCGGAGCTACCGGCATTTTGTAGTATTCACTCTTCTTCTCCGCTCATAGCCTTGCCTCGCGCTGTGTTAGCCCGAGGGAAGACTTGATGAGCGGCTGAGATTATCTTTGGAAGCGTTTCATCGATTGCCGAGCGCGCGCTATATCAGCGCGCTCAATTAGTAAGGAACATCTCGTACAATACTGTCATCCTTTTATTGGTCTACTTCTAAGGGTATGTCCAAGCATCCAGTTCTGCTTCCTAGGTTCTTCCTTCAAGCCACATTCTCGTTCTTTTCAGTCACTGGCCTTGGTTTCTTGCCTCATGGCCGCTGGTGAGATCCGAGTCGGCGAGACGAATTATGCGTACTGATGCTCTTCCTGCAGAAAGATCGGCGCAGTTCACACTCAAGGTTGAAACTTTCTATAAGTGGCACCAGACCTATCGATATCCTCACCTCAGGGTCGTCAGCAATACGAGCATACCACTTTTATCACCAGACCATCAAATACCGTCAAATCGCAATCGATCATCGTCTGACCTCAGGGTCGTCAGCAATATGAGCATACCACTTTTATCACCAGACCATCAAATACCGTCAAATCGCAATCAATCATCGTCTGACCTCAGGGTCGTCAGCAATATGAGCATACCACTTTTATCACCAGACCATCGGATACCATCAAATCGCAACCAATCAACGTCAACATCGATCGATGCAACTGCTAGCCAGATAACTCGGATGTGCTTATCGATAAGCACATCCGAGTCATCGATACATCCAAATTCCAGGATAGGAACATATAACAAAAAGACGACAAGGCGAGCCTAGCCTGAGCACTGCCAAGGCTATAACCTGTGCTCGCACGTCATTCACCTTGGACTCGTGCTCGCCAGGTGGCGCTAGAACTGCGCCAGGTGATCATTACCTCCATGTCAGGTGGGCGAGGACGTACGTACACGTCCCTGGGCTGGGATGGGTATATAAGGGCTTGTTCGTCGTTGAATTAATCGCTATGTATCAGCGCTCACTGTTGATGTATTCTATTTTGTTCCTCACTTCCGTCTCCCATTCTGATCGGTCACTGTGCATGCTTGACAGCACTCTTTTCTCACACCACAGAATATGCCTCATTTCAATCTCACCCTCTACAGCACCTCAACCTCACACCACAGCACCTCAATCTCAGTCTCAAACTCTACACAAGACACATGAAACTCCTTTTATTGATATTGATACGCCACAGATAATGTCAGTAGATAGGTAAATACTCTGACTGACTCAGCCTTGGACCTTGGATTCGAGGAAAATATTGGTACATTTTTCGGTGGAGGATGGATAGGTAATGATAGGTGCTTGATATGATGAGCACCTGGGAGAAGGAAGGAAGGAAGCGTCTACCAATTGAAGTGATGGGCGGATGAGTGGAATGATGGACAGAGGAATAAAATGGTGGATGGATGGATGGATGGAAGTGAATTGGCGGATGAGGGAATTGAAATGGAGGAAGAGCTTCCAGTGGATGATGGATGGAAGAAGTGGAATAGTGGGTAGATGCAAAGGCATCGGCTCGATGGGTTTCAACGCCTGGTGTCGCAATGCAGATATCAAAATAGCGTCAAATCACCGGGCCGGGCTGCCGCGATTGCGCGATGTGAGTGGCAGGTAGGTAACGCTAGAAGCACTGTTCGGGGTAGAAATTCCGTGAGACCCCAGCGCTCGTATGGGATGAACTTGAAGAGGTGGGGGCGTTGTGATGTAGTCAAGAACGACAAGAAGACCCAATAAGGAGAAATAACACAGGAAACCAAGGCAAGGCGATGGATGATACAGTGTGCATGATAAGAGAGAAAACGTGGGAAAAAACACATGGAAGAAAATCGTGCATGCATGAAGGGACATGAACATGAGCATGATGGGTCTGGATCTGCAGGGGTCTGCAATGTCGCCAGCTGAGACCATTCCCAATCTCGTAGGCAGAATCACTGTCATATCTCCATATCGCGCTCCTCCCCACTAATCACATCATCCTCCCGGATTTTTGCACCACCGACGTCCTCTTTCCTAGCACGCACGCGTCCCCGACCACGTTCCTCATCCTCACCTCGATCCTCAATGTCCATCTCCCACTTTCGCTCGGCTTCCCATGAGGATTGTGGCAGGGACGTTTGTGAGGATGCGAGGGAAAGTCTAGATGAATCTGCAGAGTTTGAGTTGGAGGCAGAACGGGAGGAGGGGAGGGGGGTGCCGCGGATCGCTGCTAGTTCGCGCTCGAGGGCGCGGTTTGCGCTCTTCGAGATCTCGGCCGCGTGAAGCTTGGACGCTGACGAGCTGTTGGAGGTAGCGGATATATTCCACGGACTGGGGAGTGAAGTCAGTAATTGAACGATTTCTAGATGAATCGGCATGAGGAAAGGTGCACATATGCAGCAAACAAATGCACAGATTTGGCAAATGAGCATATACAGTGCAACACAGTGCATATAGCCAGGGAAATGGCGCATATAGGCAATAAAGCCGCCAAGAGTAAAATAAAAAAAACAACAGAGTTGCAAAACAGGATACCCACCTTCCTCAAAATCATCCCCTTGTTCGCCTTGATCATTTGCGGCTCAGAGCCATTTGCGGTAGTGATCCCGTTCGTAGGGATACCACCATTCACACCGCCATTCGCATTGCCCCGACCTGCTCAGGAGCGTCAGAATCCGCCTTGCACAGCACGCAAAAGACGCACCATCATCTCCATCTTCGCTTGGATCCTTCTTCATGTTATTCCCATTGACAGGGGTTTCAGGTACCCCATTTTCGGGGACGTCAGGGAGACCCTCGTCAGAGTTTGCTGCGTCTGGAAGGAGGGGGAGTGAGAAGAGATCATTATTTTCGACTGCAGGTGAAGTTGCACTGAGGAGGGTGGGGGATGTTGGAGCAATGAGTGGAGCTATGGCGATGAGTTAGATGATTGGAAAAGATCCGAGGGTTATATTAAAAATCGGAAATAAACAGTTTCCCGAGAATGGTCAAAAAATAGGAAAGGGAGGTCCGAGGACCGAAAAGAAAGGAAGGAAAACCCACCATCACATTCAAACAGCACCCCTGGAATTAGTCCCGCTAGCTCGCCGATTCTTTCGTTGATGTTGTCTCTCCGCCTTCTCTCGACAGCGTTGTGACTCTCCCGCCTTCTTCGTCTCTTTTCTGATAGACCATCACCATCAGAATGTTTTCCTTTGACAGGCGCAGGTGCAGATGTAGTGCTGCTCCCCAGTATGCCCAAAGTAGAAACCTCACTCGGACTGATTCCCATGCTAGGAGTTCCGGTACGGCCATTAAAACTACCATAATTTACAGCCACATTGTTTTGCGAAGCAAAGGAACCCGGTTGTGTAGGGTATGAAGTGGTTGCCGCATTATATCCCTGGAACCCGCCAAAGGAATGAGAGAGACTGTCGGGTGTGGGGAGCGAGTATTCTCCTTGACCGGGAACGAAGAAGCCGCCCATTGTTGAACCACCACCCCGACCGGGGATAACTATGGCATGAGGACGGGCGGGAGGGGGCGGAGAAGTGCCGGATACATGTGAACTAATGCTATTGGCGCGGCGATCACGGCGGGATGTTCGGGTGGGGCCGAGACTTGGGGGGCGTGAACGGCTACGACTGCGTGAGTTGGGGTTATGCGGGGATGGGGTGTGGCGGTACGCGAAATGTGATGGCGGATCTGGATGTGGTTCGTACCGCATACTGCTATTTAAGGCAGGAAGGGTGCTGTTGAAATGGGCATGGGGGAGATCATTGGTGTGTTGTTGTTGACTGTTTGGGTAAATATCTGTTGATGATGGAGGTCGGAAGTGAGTTGCAGGAGCACTGATGTCAAAAATATTGTGACGGTATGGGTCTGCATCGTATGTGCTACGTTCGTGTGATGCATGGTGCGGGTGCGTGTGCGAGTCTATGAGACTTGCAAGATCGTCGGTGAAGTCAATGGCGCTTGGTGTTGTAGTGGGTTGATGATGAGAGTGAGCTTGAGCAGCACTTGGAAATTTGCGAAATGAGTCAGGAAGAAAAGATAGATTTGGCGGCATGAAAAGATCTGTTGGGGACGTTGGAGGGGGTGAGGTCGGCGTCTCTGACGATGAGGAAGCAGTGTGTGCAGGTGAAGGAAGCTGGAAACCTTCTTGTCTTACTGTTGTACTATAGCTGGACATGAGAGTGGATACAAAGTGAAGATATGTGATCTCGTTAATACTTCACTTTATTATCACTTCCTCCCCCAATTCGGGGTCTCGGTCCGAGTA